TCAAGCTGTTCGTGCTTTCATTCAAACAGGTCAATTACCGGAGAGATCTTGACGAACCCGATGCAAATGTTATTTAAAACCATGATCTGTTAAATCGTACTGTCGCCAAGACTTATAGTAGATCTCTCAATCAACTTACAGCCTCTCTATGTTATACGCTATCATCGCCACGATGCGGTTATATCGCGATCAAGATGCGGCTCTCATCATTGCGAAACTTTAGGTGCAAGTCCAATAGTATAACAACTTTCTTGAATACTATGTTTGAAGTTTGTATATGAGCTAGCATTAAAAGGTATCAAATGCCCTTTGCGAGCTACCATGACTACCACAGCATTGAAAATAACAAACTCATCAGACTTGGTTGAGGGAAGGGAACAACGATACATAGACATCGATGCCTATAGCAGCGAATTGAGAGCCGCTTAGATGTCAAGTTGGACAAGTTTGTTGCAGTCTCCGTCACCTTTCGACTTAGAATGAGAAACAGCAAATCGAGCCGCGCACAACAGGCTGGCACTAATCTGGCAACTCTTCTATAACAACTGACAATGCGGACATCTCCGGCATCAAGATCGAGATAATTCATCATGTGCTGTCGTGTCATCTAGCCTCATTGCTGACGAGCTATGGAAGAGACAAGGGCAGCTTCTAGAACTTGAAGCTAATAAAATATGAAAAAATATCTGTCTGCAGTATCGTGATTAGAATCACAATATTGCTCTTTGGTCTTACGTGATAAATATACGACTACGACAAGGGGATGTCAATCTAGATCATACGAAGAATGCATCTAGTGTCGACAGAGTCTAGAAGGTCTCTATGAGGGGCATCGCCTAGCACTCCTCGAGTCAAGTGATCTGCACCATTTTTTATAATGGTCTAACCCGGAGTTCATGATTCTCTAGAAACAGAGAACGGCTTTGTTGACATAGTAAAATTTAGGGGTCGCGCGGGTGATGACGTGGTGAGGCAAGTCTGCGCCTCTGGAATGGTTTGCGTAGATGGAATGCCACTTATAGTGGGGATGATGTCAGCCCGGGAATGGGTATGGAGATAATTTCAAGGGACCCTTTGGAAAGACTCTTCGAAGCCCTCGGCCCGAAATCTATCGAGATGCATAGATGTGTATCTTGATTGATAACGGGTGGCTTGCTTAAAAGACGTCATCTAGATTCAGACAAGCCTTGAGGCTTGCACTGGGGTTTTATTATCCTACAACGGCTGACATCTATACTATAGGACGACGTCTCTCGCGTGTTTTAGTAGAATAGTGAGAACTTACCTTTATCGCGTAGCCTGACATCCTCCACTGTCAGTAAAATTAGAGTCATGGCACAGATCTACGGATATACGTGGAGTTTAACAAAGTCATCATCTACCCAGAGGACTTCATGGCCTGATCCCGCAATATACTTGATGCCATTTAGGCACTGGTGAAGAATATCTCCAGAATAGGAATGAGGAGAAAGCTTCGTGATTTTCTTCATAGAAAAGTGGAAAGGGGGGAGGTATGCCACTTGGAAACTGCAGATGTTTCGCATCCTTGAGCAGTTCTTCCCGTCCGAAGAGATGCTGCAACACGAGCGTGAATCAACCCACAAGGCATTCGGCGAGGAGGTTAAGATCGATGACCCTCCTTGACCAAGTCAGTGAAAGTTTGAGGACAGGAACGAAACGATCGAGCTGTAAGAGAGAAATTAAAAGACAAGCTTTTTCGTTTCAGAGATCAAACCGCGCATCACAGAGATCGCTTGCATCTCAACAATGCTTCGACTGGGGTTTCAGTTTTCCTGAGGGAGTAAGTCGACCCCTCAATTGCAATCGGCCGACTTCTTCCCCCAATTGAAGCTCTTTGAGGGAATTATCTGAAGAATCCCGGTGCTTGCGCGCTGTACATTGCTTCCAAAGCAACATGCTTCCTCACGATCGAGCCTCTACAAGGAAGTGAACGAGAGCATGGGAGGTGTGCTGAGAGCTGGGAGTCTTCCTGCGCAGGCATAGACCCTTTGCATTTAATTGAAACTTTACGGTCGCCCTTGTTACCTGAGTTCTTAGTCTCTTCAGGTCCATCAATGTCGTGTGTTCGAAGTTGAGGCTAATGCGGGGAGCTGCAGCATACGAACATGGTGTGATGAATCATTGCTCTCATATTGGGCCCCGAAGCCGGGAGACTGCAGAGCATTGCCGTGGAGCGTGGGTGCCACTTACACACATCCACGGCACATGGTCATGGGTATGGGGGGCTGTTGTATCAATCCACGAGCGGCTTCTCCTGTCGCACGATCCAAAGCCACGACACAAGCGAACATGGTCGTCAAACCTGAGGCCGTAACAGAGCGAAAAGTGGACCGGCGATGGCACGCGACAAAAACTGGGATCTGACCAAGGATGCAAAGTGCTTGTGAAAACTGCACTGCTGGTCCCTGACTTGTTCCTCTGCGTGCGTTTGGAGATTGATTTAGTTAGTAAGAGCTAGCTCACTGGCTCCTGTCCGGTCGACTGCATGGGGATGAGAAGCCGTTTCTCCTGTCAGCGCTGACTTGGCAGGACTGGACGGCTCACCCATAGCCACGTTGCCCTGACAGCTCAGCGGTCGGCATGGCGCATGACGGATGTCCAGAGGGGACTTTGCGGTGTAAGCTGGGTCACCCACAAGACACTGACCTCATCCATTCCTCGATCCCCCTCATCATTCATTCTCACCGCAGAGGCACAGTCCTTGACTCGATCCCATGTCTGGGTACGCGTGGCAATCGTCAAGCGAAGCTTTCGGGGTAATTTACAGTGGACATGGACGTGCTCCTAGGCCTCTGTAAGGTTCTCCGCAGTGGATGGGCCATGTCTTGAAGCAGTGGAGTGATTGTTTTATAGCATCGCATCTTTTGCGACCCCGGCTCATCAGTGCGAGCAGTCGGTCGACTCAGATGACTCGGACGTCTTCTGATTGATGGGATACTGTAGATTCGGGAGTAGTCTGCTCGAGTTTGATGAATGAATTAAAGAGCGCTATCACGACAAGGCACGCACGCCTGTCGCGAAATGGCGAAAAAGGAGGGGGCGCTCATGCCTGGCTGGGCCTAGCGTCAGGAACAGGATGCAGGAACAAATCTTGCGAAGCAGCACGGTCCACGTCTCACGACCGGTAGCGAGGCGACCTAGCGAATCAGCTCACTGCTGGCGTGTACCGGCCGCCGTGGGGAAATTATGCAATTTTTGTCGATGGCATCTCATCTCATTACAGCGCTCCAGCGGCAATTTAGCCCAAGAGACGATGAGGTAACTCGGCCCCCCCTTCTACTCGAGTTGATGTGGGCTGGAGTCATTGGACTGCTGGCCTGTCCGCCGTCCATGAATCAGAAATCAGAAATGTCAAAAATTGAAGCAAAATTTCGATCAGAGGGTAGCGAGGAGAATTCATGATTTTCATAGGGCCGACAGTGGTCGATCACAACGTTAACGCCACCTTAGTTGCTGATGATCCGGCCCAATGCCGACTTTCTTGGTTCCCCAGTGATAGTCGTAGAGTATAAAGTGGGTTTGACAGCGGTGACGACGGAGAAATTGAAGATCAAAGAAAGTCTGGATCGATCGACTGCTGCAGTATCGGAAATGGAAGCACCCTTCATAATTTTGACGGTACAGCAAGAAGTCTTTGTAAACAACGAAAATAGAAGGAAGCCATCAGCATTTGGAAGAAGCGTTGGCCAGTGGAGAGAAGGAGACCTCCTTCCCTCAAAGGAAGCGTTGGATAAATCCGTTTGAGAGTGGCAGTGAAGCCTTCCTTTCTCCTGCGACGATGGCGCCTTCCAGTGGCTTGACAGGAGGCTGTTTGTGCAGGAACCACCCAGTTTTAGAAAGCCGGCACAAAGGAAGGAGCGCACGACAACCTTAACTGATGAAAGACACAATTCATTCATCGAGAGGAGGAGCAACCCGCAACTCGCTTGGGCCTGGCCTGTCTGGGGGTGGAAGGTGCTTGAAATTGCGCCTGTAATTTCCGCTTGGAGTCGCAAATGAGACGAGCCAAGGTCAGCGGTACCTGGGTCTTGGCGGAGAACCTAGATGATTTGGATGAAATGGGCGGTAACTGTGACATGGGCGCTGGGCCACTGGACCTGGTCGTCCTGGAACGTTTGGATGTACCTGACGCGACCCCGGCGCCAATAACGCCACCAAGAGCAGGCCCTGGGGGTACGTACCCTGTACTTCCCTGTCAGTCAGCCAGTCAGTCAGTCCGTCTTTGCGAGTAGGTGTGCCGTCTGGCTGGTTGATGGGGTGCTTTGTTCCATTGCCCATTGCTCCTAGCTGTGCTTTGTGTTAGGTCCCGCTTCGTTGGCGTCGGGTTGGTGTGGGCGTTTTTGGTGTTGGCCCGAGCCCAGACTCAGTCAGTCGGGTGTAGGTACTTGCTACTAGGTACTACTGTAATCTCGCTGGCTGCTGGTGAGGCGGCTCGCTAGCCCACCCACCCCCAGACAGACATCGTGGGAATTTCCCTCTTCTTCTATACCACACCTCCCCTTCCTCTCGCTCTCCACACACTCCTCTCTTTCTCGTACACTTCACATCGCACACCCACAGACTTCGTTGGCAAAGTCTACCCACGCACCTGCTTTTCTCCTCGCGATCTGACCTTGAATACTCGGCCGAGCTAGTATTCAACTCTCACATTCATTATTAACAATAACAATCAACATACTCACACACTCTCTCACCATCTTGACGAACTACCGAGTCATTTACTGACACAGCGACGAACACGATCTGCCATTTGATTCCAGCACTTGTTGAAGGAAACACCCTGAGGATCTGCCAGTAGCAGGGGATATCAAAAGACGAAGAGGTTAAGAAACGTTAAAAGGACCAAAGCGCATCGCATCTACTTTGCGACGCATTACTGTTGAGGATATCGGCTTGGAAGGCGCATACTCGACCAACACACCAACCTATCCACCCACCGTGGATTCACTCACCAGACATCGCAAATCAATTCCATCAACATGCAGTTGACCAAGATATTAGCGGCGGTGATCCTGCCTCTTGTCGCTGTCGCTCAGGACACCGACTCGACCACCACCGCCACATCCACCATCACTCTCACCCGGACCATTAAGCTCGCCAAGATTGTCGCAACAACCACCTCGACAGTCTACAACACCACGTCGAGCTATGCTCTGACGGGCACCGGTTCATCTACCTACCTTCTCCCGACCACCACTGGTTCGCCGACGACATCAACACCATCCATCAGCCCGTCGATCGACCCCAACGCTGGCGTGGCTCTCAATGCCGCAAACGTTGCGCTGGCTGGTGTCGCCGGTATCTTTGTCGCCGCTCTGATGTAAGTCTGTGCGCTTCACAGATTTATATCAGCGCTTGGGAAGGACGGGGATGAGATAGCGACGAGAAGCAGCACTACCTACTATTTGCAATGTCAACCTCCGAACTCTTCGATGCGGACATCATCTCAGCCATTTCCTATGTCGATCACTTTGCAACCATGCATATACTGCTTGCTTGCGCCTTTTACCCGCAATCACGTTTCACGAGGAACGACACTTGAACGGCAATGACCATCCACAGATGCAAGCATCTGTCCCTCCTGGTTCCAGCAACACAAAAGCCCCCTTTCTACTACTACTTCTACAGCAGCAAGCACTTTCTTGGGAGTCAGGCGAGTTTGGCGGCATCTTTTTACCACCCAACCGACTTAATGTTTCAATTCGTTCTCCAGCAGAAACCTGTTCATGCGTGCCAACCGCCATGCAATTTTCACCCATTGGCCGCGTCGACTGCGGTCCAACCCCTTTCATGGCCGGAACACCTTTTTTGAACTTCTCTGTGCCATATTGGACAACTGTTTCACACCGGCTCTTTTGCCTTAGCCATTTCGTCCTCTTCTTGGCTGGCAACATGAGCATGTCGATGCTGGCTGGACACTCGAGACCCTATCATGTGGGGCTCTCACCTTTCTCCTCTTCACCATCCGGCGAGTTATCGTGGACGGCCGAGCGACTAGGCTCGGCGAGTTTGAAGATGATTTTTTTTTTACCCCCTTTCGAAAAAGGAGAGACTTGGTGATACCCTTTACTTTTGTGTTGTACGCTCGCCGCGCGAGGAACCAGGGGACGCAGGGGAAATTCAAAACGACAGACAGACGGCGGATGAAAGAACTACCTCATTGCATGTGCGAGTTTGTACCCTTGTTTTTCTGTTTGATACTATTTTTTACTTTATTTTTAAGGATCTGATCTGTTTTTATCTTTGTGCATCACTTTTTGTGCGGAAAGCTATCAAAACAACTATCTAAACTTGTCTTTGGGCATTTTCTGGCATTCTGCCTGTGCCGAGGGGACGATGTTGAGCTTGGCGATTTTGATACCTGGCTTGGGGATTTGGTCGTCCGTAGTTTGAATTGAGTTTCCGAGGTTGACTACACACCCATAGTTCCTTCTGCCTGTGCCTTACCACCGTCCATCTCGCATTGTCGCCATGTGCTAATGAGTCGAGTCTGTGCGCGTCAAATGTCACTGCTGTACCAGTGACTTTCGCCATTGGGGGAATTCTTGTTGTTCCCCATGTCCCCAGTTTCGCGCGCGTTTGAGGCAACGAGGCTGTGCCGTCATGCGATTCTCAAGATGGAATTCTGCAGTGCTCTGCAGCCGCCGTTGGCATGGAATGATTGACGCGATCGCCGCACGCGACCACTGCCGATCCCGCTCCGGACGGCCCATATTACTCACTCTGTCACTCTTGTCACTTACACCCTGACAGACGGGCTAGCTCAATGCGCGTCAAGGTAAGGTTTATCACAGATGCCCACAAAAATCTCAATCGTGTCTCCAGTGTTTTGGCATGCGGGACAGAGGCTCAGGCAGTCAGGCGGAGCAGCTCTTTTGCTTGCTTGCTTGCTAGAATTGCTCCTTGCGTCGTAAGGTTGTGGTAGTGGGTTTATGTGACAATCCCTTGCCTCAGCCGCTCGTCTTAGTGCGGGTGGAGAGTGCCAGTCCGGAAAGCTTGGGTCTGAGCCAAGATCGGGCTTTGATAACAACGCCTGGCAGACAAACTAGACGCCTTGTCGCGATTCTCTTCCTTGACTTACTTGACCTGCGGACATCCGATCGAATTGCGCGAGTTGGTCGCGATTTCTGGAGCGGCAAAGCGCGCGATTCTATGTTGTGATGCGCCCCAGTCTCGGATGAAGGAGAACAAGGTGATCCCGCAGCGGAAGTCTGAAACCCAGCGTGTGAGCAAAGCGCATCGAAATCATTCCTCGGCCCCCCAAACCCCACGAACTGGAAGACAGATAAGATCTTGTGTAATATGACAGATGATGTGGAAAGGTGACCAATTATGTACCGACGCCGAACTGCTGGAGGCCCTTGCACTGTGGCTGAAATCCATGTGGCAAGCCAGTTATCTCCCTTACTGCGCCCGACTCTTCACCCCTGAGAAGCCGGTGCTGTCCACGAGAAATCGACACATGCATTCAACACCATGATATCCGTCTACCGTGTGGAGGATATCGCTAGCCTCATGTTCATTGAGAATCGCACCGATGATTGACCTACGCCGGCATCAGTGAGAGCTCTACGAGATCTGATATCGGGAGCATGTGAGTCAGTGTGACGTACGTGGACCTATTGCCAACGTTGTAGTGACAGGAGGCGGCTACACTACATACCTGATGATCTATTTTCCGAGCCTATTCTCCGTAGCAACGACCTCGGCACTTCTCTTGACGTAGATTGATTGCCTTTTGACTTCCAAATCGAGCATCTAAATCGACTAATTGACGTTATTTTCATACTCATCAACGCCTTCTGCAAATACAAGCATCCGCATCATATGTGTTATTTGTGGCGAGATGTGAATGACGGTAAACAAAGCAGCCGAGAGAATAGGTGACGAGTGATCATCACCGGCGAACGTCAGATTCAGGTTCACACGTCACGAACGATAACCTCTATCATTCATGCTCTTCTGATGTCATGCGATTTTGGAACTCTTGCATAGCGTAAGATAGGTAATAGACTACGTAGATGTTGCTATCGCTTTTAATGGCTTCCAAGCATAAAGTTATCAACATCGGCTGCGGTGAATGTTCATGAGTTCGCCCATCCGTCTTCCATTGAACATCTTCCGATCGTCAAGACAAGGATAAATGCAGATTCAAAGCTCAGCACGATACAGGAGAGGAACATAAGAACATAAAATCAAGATTTACGCTCTTTGAAGCCTAGGCCCTTGATTTGAAGCGTCGAGAATCCCTCATAAAGCTGCATAGAGGACATACCCCTTTTTTAGACGTCAACTCATTCCTATATATTCAAAGCAATCTAAGACTGGATCTGCAGCGCAGCTGAGACGTTCTCGCACCCGAATCGAACATATTCGTCACAAGAACACGTCACATGTCATTCGAAAATTCAGCAGCTCTATGAAAGATGGACAGAAATGCGCCGTGGTGGATCCGACTGATGCACCCCAGTATGAGAAGGCAGGTGGAAGCATGGCGAATGACATTGCACAATCATATGTTCAGTTCAAGCACGATGCTCCGGCCGAACAAACTCTTATCATGCCAGTAGAGAACTTGTTTATAGTCCAAATAGGATCCTCGAAACCCGTCCAACTCCTTGCGCGCAGACCATGACATATGTCATTGACATCAAATTTGTGACCTTCCCATGAGGTATACATTTTACATGACCGATCCCCAAAGACATCATCACCTATCAACCGGCCCCCCAAACCCGGCAGCGAGCCTGATCTCACCCACAGGCTTCTTGACCGACGTATCAAACGCATCCACAACCCTCACCTTCCCGCCCTCCATCCTCCACACCTCCACCGCTCCCCATCTCTGCTCACGGCTCCTGCGGCGCCCCTGCCCGCCAACCTCCCATGCACCCACCTCGTCCAGCAAGACCTCAACCACAGTTGCGTACTCTACCTGCTTCGCCGACGGCACGGCGTCGCCTTCACCATGTGTGAGCGATCCATCCGAGCTCGACGGCGCGTAGAGCGCCTCGGCATCAGCACGACGTTTCGGCACGCGCGTGCACAGCAGGTGCATGTCCAGGAGCTGGGTGAAGACAAGTCCGAACGACGGCTTGTTGCGGCGCGTGGGCGGCGCGTCGTAGCCGTACGACTGCGGTGGCGGGTTGAAGATCGAGCGTAGGGTAGGATCCAGAGGCTTGGGAGGGTTCGGCCTAGAAGTGGGCCGCAAAGGTGGTTCCGGGGACGAGCGTGGCGGCCCCTCAGCCTTGGCGGCGGCGGCGGTGCTGTCGTTCGGCGCGGCAGACGAGGTTGTGGAGTTGAGGATGAGGAAGAGTGGTCCGCCATGCTCAGGTGAGCGGGTGAGATATCGCATGTGGGAAGCCATGAGCTGGAGAGTGGGGTGGGCTGAGGCCTTCTCGCGATGAGTGAAAAGCGTGGCGAGGAGGGAGGACATGTGAGTGATGAGAATTATGTCAGGTATGGGAGGCACATTTTTTCTTGCTTCGTCTGGAATCAAATTCGGTTGTTTTGGAGGGACGCTTGCTTTCCTTTCAGGGGCTGCAGGCTTTGCGAGCGTCTCTCTCGTGCTTTCAGGGGAAGAGAGACCTCCTTCATCCTGGCTATCCAGAATCTCTGTCTCGCCAATGGAGGGTAAAGTTTCCTCGTCTATCTCTGACTCAGATTGAAGCTTCTCATGGCGCTGGATCTCTGGCGACAACGACGGGTCAGGCATCTGAGTCGGCAGATCCAGCTCTCCAAGCACTTCCCATAGGCCGTTGATATCGAAGACGCGCGAGAGAGCGACCCGTTCCAGACATGCTTTAAGCTGCGTGTTCACATCCGCAGGAGAATTCTGAGTTGGAAGTATCTGCGTTTTCAGGACATCTCTGAGCACTGGCAGCAGTGTGCTTGCCGATAACGTCGTGATGATCATTGCCCTTGGCGGCGATGGGGTTTTCGAGGCGAGACTGATCGCTAGAAGATGGGCGATGGTCTGCAGGCCAATCTAGGGAACTGATTAGCCTCTTCCTACCTGACTCAATACTCTTGAACACATCGAAAGACAGCCCAGTTGAATCCCTCCTCTCATCCTTCTTCAAGAGGTATTCGCGAGCAACACCAATCGGAATAATGGTCACCTACCAACAGCGCCATCTCCTCCTCCTCGGCCGTGATGCCCACGACACTACCCCTCTCAAAGCCGCCGAGTAGTACCTGCTCATCCAGCTCCTTACAGCCTGTGAGGCAGTTGCCCTTCTTCCGTAGGGCATCCCTTCGCGCCGTCTCCTGCTTGAACAGTACGTCTCCCGTCACCGGGTCGAGAGGGAAGTGCGAGCTAGCCTGCGACAGTGGGGGTCCATCCATCGTAATCGGACAGCAATTGCATGAGTCTGACAAGATGGAGGCTTGTGTTATCGATGTGAAAAGCTGTCCAGGCAGGGAACAAGATGCGGCAGCTTCCACGGCACGCAAGAGCTCATGCTGAAGATACCGCTAGTGCTGCTAAACATTCGAAACTTGTATTCTCGAGCATCAGATACATGAGAGCATTCGCAACTAGAAAGCCTCATCGAACTGAAGTAGCTCAAGCCCTAGCTGACAGTTGTCGGCGGTTGATGTTCGCGCAACTCAGACTTATTAGGCGTGCAGACGGGAATGGTGGAGCTCTGGGACAAGTGCCCAGCCTAGTGTCGCGCTATCACATGACATCACAAAAGGAAGGTACGTGAATCTTTAGCAGGCTGATTGTTCAAGTCACTAGCGATACGGAACATATCACTAATATACAGAAAGACTCGTAGAACTTGGGGAACTTCAATGACACTGCTGGCTGTTGGGGAACTCGGGATGGACGCTATACGTTTTAGGTTGCGGAGAGCGACCACGGGATTGCCTACGGTGATACGCCATGTCAATGGAGCAAGTCAGAACGCCTCCCAAGGGCAACCGTCTGGAGTGATTATGGTGCTTTCATCAATCTGCCTTGAAGGATTCTATCAGCAATATTTGTGCATCGTCATCAATCACCTCTCCTCCTCCTAGCCAAGGCAAGCCAGAAAAAAATCAAATGGCGGCTCCCCGTATTCTCGACCTCTCCCTCCTTCTTCTCTCTGCGTTCTCGTGGGACATAAAGCCATCTGCCCGAACCGCTCCTTCGCCTCGTCATTCCCGTGATTCGCGGAAAGGTATCCTTTGCAAAAAGTAGTTCCAATTCAACGTTCTTGTGTTCCCCTGCCCCAAAGAGCATCCGCGAGCAGTCTCTCTTCCGCCCACAGCAATCGTCATTCCTTTAAGATGTACAAAGAAGCTGGTGTATTGTCGTATGATTCGGCTTGATCCTTATTTCGTGTAGTGGGTTCAAGCACTTCGTGTTTTTCAAGTATCGTTTACTCCATAGCAATGAGTTAGTGAAATTCGCGTATTGATTCTCGTTTTTCTGATCTGCTAATTTCGCCTCTAATATCCAGCTATTCCGGCGGCTCGCTACCACCAACCGAGATCATCATGGTCAAGCTGGGTCTCTAAGCCGCAGTGCCAGGAGGGGGCTGGCTATCGCTGGCCTGTCGCGGTCTCCGTGGCCCCTTCAGACTCTTCATGCGACCGAGCAGCCCTCCAGCTTGCTTTGGCTGGTCATCGGTCGGGCTACTCGCATCGGTGGTGGAACGACGCTCGAGAGTGTTATATCTCGGCGGGCTGGGTGGCGATATCGGCCTAGCATTGGAGCCCATCTTGCGCACAGAGATCTGCTCCCCGCCCTTCTGGCCATCATACTCAGCGAAGAAAGGGTTGCGCTCTCCCTGCACGCTGGAGGACGTAGGATAGTCACCGGTGGGAGACCTGCGCGAATTGTAGACACCCTCAGGGTTGGTCATGCGACCGGAGGATTGGAAGTCGCCCCGAGGTGGTCGGTTGATGTTGCGAATTCGCTGAGCAAGCGACTTCTTCCGCTGAAGCCCACCATCTGCAAACTCTTGTGCTGATTCCTGCTCGCGACGCTGGATAGCAGTGCGTGCAGCGGGTGTACCTTCCAGGAAAGTAGAAGTTCCTAGTCCGAGAGTCTCGTCGCCGTGCAGAATTGATCCCCGGCTCTTTGGGTCCCACACCGGAATCTCACCCTTTGGTCTGGCCTGCGGGTTTTCGGCCTTGTCTACACCAGCGGAGTAGTCGGTGAAAGCCTCATCATTCGCCTTACCCATGAATGTCGCGTGATCGGGCCGCTTGTTCAATGGACCAGAGCCACCAATTGACATGTTCAGAGAGTCCTTCGGGAAGGCCTGCATCGGCGCATTTCGGCGACCATTCTTGTTGCGATGTGGGTTGACAGCATCGAACGGGCCATCATGATGAAATACTAAGGAACGCAAGTTAGTGCAAGTGTGGGCGAAAGAGCGGTCAGTGCGAACATACACCCAGTACCAAAAATGCTCGTGGCATCGAGCCGATCAATCAAGTCGAGTTTCTTATTGTTGGTCTTTGGCTTTTCCCGTTTCTCGCGATGTCTCCGCTCCCGCTCCTGACGCCGAAGTTCGCGCGCCTTCTTCTCCTCCTCTGTCAGTGGTTTTTCGGGATCAGCCACGGACGACTCAGAGTTCCTTCGTGGCCGACTTCCCAATCGCCTTTGCGGGGAAATACCGCTGTTAGAGCCATTTTCACGTCTCCGAGCCCGCAAAGCCTCTTCTTGAGATCTGGAAGGCCGGTGGCCGGGTGGCGGTCCGCGACGACCTGGGGGAGGCATGTTTTCGCCACGCGGAGGCGGGGGACCAGTTCTGTTCGCGGGTGTTGGCTGCAAAGAGGGTTGGGCTTTCTTGTCCTCGAGAGTTAGGTCACCCTGATTGAGAAGTGAATGTTAGCTATGTGTGCAATTCCAAAAGTCCTAGTCGCCTCAATAGAAGGATTTAGCCGGTCGCATGGAGGGGGTCGCCACGTACAAACAGGTCCTCCGCAGTTGGGGCCGCCTTTGTCGCCATGTTGTCGTTTGTTGGTGGTGGTGATTTGAGGGGTTGATTAGTTCTGGGATCGAGAAACGGATTCCTCGATACAGGTCGGGGAGGAGGGTCGTCAAAAGGCGAGGCAGGACTCTGAGGGAGGGATGCTGGTGAGGCAGCACGGTTGCGGAAGGGGTTGTTTGATGAGAGGTTGATGGTCAGCCCGCCGGCAGATCGTTGGTCTAAAAGCAGGTTCAAGGTCGTCAGCGATGGCAACGGCACCTTGCATGCGAATGACGACTGTGATAGGACATGAAACAGCAATCTCTTTTACATGACACAACAGGGTGGTCGGTTAAGTGGACCGATAACAGTGATGATGGACAGGAGGGCAAGACACCCCCTTAGACACAGCCCGGGCCAATGTCGAGGTGGGAAGTGGGAAAGGGGGCGGAAAACTGGGAACGGGGACGCATGTGCAAGAGGGGCGACAAGGCCGGTAGGGCAGATCGCTCCGAATGCAAGGAATTTTGGGCTCACCTGGCTGATCTGGTTGGGTGGTTGTCGTCGCCATTTTGGGCCAACGATGGATTGCAATGCGCGTCCTTGCTTGGCCCAGGGGTGGCGATGAAGCAGGTATGGAGCTTTCTTGGTACGGTAACGTTAAATGTATGGTATGGTAATAAACGCTATGTTGAGCGAGAGATTGAAAAGGGTACGGCAGACACGTAGGTTTGCTTTGTTGGTCCCCGTCTGAAGCTCTAGTCTACCGTAGCGTCATACCACAAGGGGTATTAAAGACGCCTACTGTAGTAAACACCCACGCACACAACACGGTCGGTCGGTCGGTGTCGGTGACGCAGGTCGGACAGGGCCTGGGCAGGACAACAGAGTCAAAGCAGGGCAGGGCCGCTGGTGGGGATGGATGCTCGATGCAATGCTGCAGCAGCTGCTAGTACTATGATGTCGTTCGTTCGTGAGATAGGTCGTGTTCCTCGAGTCGCGGTACGCTCGTTCGTCAGATGGATGAGGAGAGAAAAAGGGTCCTGTGTTTCGTTTCCGAAGAATTAAAGGAGGAATTGAGTGAGAGAGAGCAAATGGAGCGGCTGAGTCGGAGTTTTTGTTTTCCTCGTGTTCCCCAGGTGCTGGCACTTGTCCTGCGCTGCGCTGCGCTGCTGGTGCTTGCTGCTCCTGGGCTTGACAGTGCCTCGCTAAGGTATGCTCTAAATAACGGGCGGGCGATCCAGGGCCAGACGGCGCCAGATGAGCGGGCTGCCCAATGTTCCACTCGGCTCTCAACAAGCGATCGATCCGATGCGAGTCTGATCAGGTCGTAGAAAAGAGGTCAAGCGCACGGGTGAAGAGTCAAGACGCCTTCCCTTCCACTGGGCTGCGTATTCGAGAGGCAACGTAATAAACGTTCTCTAGATCGAGTTGCTAGAGGCTATTAGGCGGGGCTGTGCGCGGCCTGACAGAATCGCCGATTCCCACGTATCGTATCGTTTCGTTGCGTACCGTAAGTTGCCGTACCTGTCTCTCGAAGACTCGAAAGGGGTGAGGAAGCCGAGACCGCCAAGAGAAATTGTTAAACAGAGACGGTAGGTAGGTAGAGCAGAGCACAGAGATTCCGGTCCGTGGTCACCGAAGCAGACGGTTACGCAACTTCTGTCTCGCCGTGTCTTACGAATGGGAAACGCCACCTTTGGGGAAGGCGCCGCTCAGCCAGCCTACGACAGCACACTCGCTCAAAAGAGAAGGAGCGTGTATTTGCCTGTCTGTTTCCTGATGGACTAGCAGGACTACGATCCGGAGAAGGACGGACGGGAAAGGGATGTGAGGTTGAACGGCGAGGGAGAGGGGGTATTAATAAGGTCCCCAGCGACACAACTCGTTCAATTCTTCAGAAATACAGCGCCTCTTCCAATTACTCGGCTGGGCGCTGGGCGCTGGGCTTAGTTGCATTGCATTGGTGGCTCTTCACTTTTGACTGTTTCGGGATTTCTCCGCACCTGGATGTCCTTCGACTCTTCGAGAGTAGCTACCGCCACGGCTCACTATGCTGCGTTGGGTCTTCGTGATTCCCGAGATGCTCAAACGGAAGTGTTTTCTGCGCGAACCACACCCAAGGTTTATGCAGGACCCCTACTTTTGCAGGGAGCCGCCCTCCATAGCCTGCCCACTAGGATGACCTAGATCCAGCCTCCAGCCTCCAGTCTCCAAACCACCAGACGAAGTCGGTCACAGGATGGATATTCTAGACCCTCCTTAAAGGTCTCTGTGGACAGCGAGCGATGTCTACTGGTCTCTATGATAGCTGGCTTCCTCTCAGGTGCTCCCGCTACTCTTCAGCACGCATATTCACCGACTGACGTGACGCAGCGCAATGAGTGTCATGAATGCCCGTCATACCCAGGTACCCAAGGTACCTTATGCCAGGGCCGTGCCATTTCTCGTGTTTGCTGTTGATCCCCGCGCCAAAGACGGGCAACTGTGGCCGCTTGCAACCCGGGCTTAACCTTTACGAGGCGTCTGGGGTCTTCAGTGCCCAATCGGCGCGGGCTTGGAGAGTCCCATCATCCTGCCAGCCGGGGTGGGCCTGGCCGCTTTCTCACTTCTCACTCATCGTCACTCTGTGCCCCTGCAGCCTCCCAACAACCCTCTCCCCCTCGCAGTCACTCATGCCTCATCGTCCTCACCGCCGCAACATCCAGTGTCTGCCACAATGGGGGTGGCACGGCCGCTAAATGATGGGAGTGGAGGCAGAAACGTGGGAATTTTGTGCGCGGATAACAGCACTTGAGATTAGGACCTTGTTGATCCCAATCATCTCTCGCGAAGACATCGCCGTGGGCTAAAATGGCACCATTTAGTGCGCAGACTACCGGTACCGTGCTCTACAGAAAGCGAACCGGCACCAGGGACTCCTATTTCCCCTACTCCGCCATCAGACTAACAGAGATGCTGAATGATGTACGACATGATACCTACCGAGGCCTCGATGATTCCTTTTATTACCATAGCCCTATTCTTTACTACGAACGTATTCATTCCTCGTTGAGGAGGTTCTTGTTTCTGCACGAACCAACATTTTGTTGTCGTCCTGGTGCAAAAGTAATCCATCTTGAAGCGGTAAACGCTCGTGGCCCCTGCTTTTTCTACCTTGCCGAAGGGTTGGTCCCCCATTGTAAAAATATTGTGGGGTAAATTTCCAACTGGCAGGTGTCAGTGCATGCCGTCACTCTCCTTTTCCTTGGACCTCTTCCTTGGACCTCTTCCCTAGAGACCTGAGTATGGGTCGGATAGTCTCTCAACGGCAATCACAAATATTTGATCACATATGAAGATGTCCTTTTCAGCTCCTACATTGGCCTTGTCTATCTTATAGTAAGCATGCTCCCGAAAAGAGCCAATAAGTAGATCCCGTAACCAGAAAACGAAGCGGAATGTGAGCGGGGGGTTGTAATTGAAGAGGACCCTTGGATTCAGCAGCACTTTACGAATTCATGCATTGTCCCTCCCAGTCTGGACGGTCACATATTTTGATCCGCCAACCACTTACACAATGAGACTTGTCATCTCCAGTCAATCAACTTCCACCCACCGGGTTGCCCGTTCTGTTTCAACCTCCTTGCCCGTCTGAAAGCCACTCTCATCCGATCACCAAGGCAGCTTCAAGGGGGTCGGCAAGCCATCCCCCAATACCGCTGGCGCCGTGCCGATATCGCCTGTGGGTCCCCAAACGGTCAGCAATCATGAACTCCCGGTAAGAGTGTGCCGCTACCCAGAGCGATGGTTACCTACCGGGTCCTCGAGGAGCCCAATATTCGCCGGTCTTGGAAATGTCGAGCTTGTCGGTCCATTCGATGAGAGACTCTGCCGCCTTATCGGGAGTTACCGCTATGCCTGGTTAGCACATGCCCACGTTCTACTTCAAAGGTCTATGTAAGGGCCTCGGAAGAATATGTATCAAACGTACCGCCGCCATCATCCCAGAACTTATCGAACCCGACACCCTTGGTCATCTCTGTGCGCATGAACCCAGGGTGGACAATCGACACAATGACCCCCTTCTCCTTCAGATCTAGGCTCAGCAGCTTACCCACCATGTTGAGCGCAGCTTTGCTGGCGTGATGAGCGTAATTGCCGCCGCCCTCCTGCTCGTGCCGCAGCGTAATACTGCCCGACTCGGATGAGACAAGGACCACCTTGGAGCCCTTCTGCAGCAGGCCGGCGCGGGCGAGCCGCTGCACGATGAAGACGGGCGCGATGCTACTCGTCGTATACATTGTCACCTCCTTGTCCCAGTCCGGGCCCTTGTCGTCGAAATCCTCCGTCGCGAAGTAGCCTGCCGTGATGATCTACGGCTCGGGAGGCTGTGGTCAGCCTCGATTATGCACAGCTGTGGTGAACAAGGCAGACGTACCACGGATTCAAGGGGCTGTGAACCTCCTAGGAGGGATACCACCGTATCTCCCACGTCCTTCTTCGTAAGATCCACGTTGGGGAGCCACTTCACGGACTCTGGAAAGTCTTTGGGTGCTGCTTCTGAGCGCGCAGTTCCGTACACAGTCTTGCCCTGCTTGGCGTACTGTTTGGTGAGTTCGGCCCCAAGGCCGCGGGTCGCACCGACAATGAGGACGGGGGCCATCATGGATGTGCTGAAATGTCGTAGATGCTGTAATAGTCTATTTCTTGCCGCTATGAAAGTCATCGATGTTTCGTACGATGTCGAGCTGGAGCTTGGTGTGCAAGACGCTGAGTGATGTAATGACTTATAACACCATCGGTGGGGGAGGGGCAGCTTCGCGTATCGCATCATCGGGTTGTTATCTAAGGCAGTCGCAACGCAACACCTCTACCTAGGTAGGTACCTAAGACCCCAGGCAATGGCTCAGGACCCCTTTTAACATCATCAAACAACATGATACAGGCAATTCTGCAATGTTATATATTATCCCTAGTATGTACATAGAAGTGCACCAATTTCTCCATTCATATCCAGCAGTGTGCTCATTACTCGTCTCTCGTTCAGCTCATGCCCTTAGTACATGCCAATGATCTCTCCTACAACACTACGATAGAGACCATTCGGGTCAAACTTTTCACGCACGGCCTTGAAGCGTGCGATATACTATCAGATGGCTTAGTCTGTAGTTCTGGGCAAGTAGGGATACTGGAGTGCTTACAGTCGGATCCAGATTCTTGAGGCCTCTCTCGAAGATCTCTCGAGTGTTCTTCGTCCAGTGAGGCCTGCACGGGAACTCATCGATGAGAGTGTGCGCCAGGTTGTGATCTACAATGCTTCATTAGAAAAACACAGTCCCGACCGCTATTCTCTGATGTGAACTCACAGAAAGGCTCGTTGTAACGGAGGCCATCTCCGACATTCGGATGGAAAGATGGGAAATCGAACATGATAGTCCCCTTGCTCCAATCATAGACCGTCCCATCGGCAGTTGTTCCGTTGCTGACCTGGCCCAAGAAGTCAAAGTGCGCCTTGCCGAACTTGATGTTGATTCCGCTACGGTAAGTTGAGGTCATGAAGATGAGCTTCTCCTTCTCGGCGTCGAACAGCTCCCGGATCCTCTGCAGCAGCTTGTTGGCGAGCGTGACTGGCACCGCAAGCTCCAGCGTGTAGCCGTGTAGGTCGTACTCCCACTCGGGCCGCTGATCTGGATAAAGGCCACCGATGAGAACGTCGTAGTTGTAGCCTGTCACGGGCCACTCAGTGATCTCCTCATCGGTGTCCTTGGTGTGGAAGTTGGGCTTCTCCCAAAGACCAAAGAAGATCTCCTCTGCTAGCCAGTTGGAAGAGGGCAGATACTTTCCGCTGTTAAGCAGTGCGCTGGCCGCGTAGCCTTCGACTGCTGTCACGGAGAATGTCGACTGAAAGCCTAGTTGATTTGGGGTAGTGTCATTTACCACATCATAATATCTCCAGTGGAACTTCTTCTTGTAGGGCCACCACTAAACCATGTTAATGGAAAGATCAGCGGGAGACGACGACAACTTACCCAGAAATTTGCTGTCAAGTATGGGGAGATCATGCCATAGATATCACCGTTGAGAACTTCGTCTTCATCCAGGCTGAAAAGCGAGTTAGTCCATCGGTCACCGCATAGTTGAAAGTCCAACTTACGTCTCTTGCATAGCATAGAGGACAGTCTCCGGATAGATCTTCATCTTGAGTCTAGCAATGATGCCGAGAAGGCCAAGCGAAGTCGATGCTGCAAGCCACTCATCGTTGTTGTCGTCACGCTCAATGGTCCGAATGGTGCCAGTGCCATCAATAATATCCAAAGAAAGCACGCCACCAACGACCACGGCGTCTTCCCGGAGCGAGGTGCGGTGAGCACCCATTGCAACGCTCCCGCCAAGGCTAATGTTCCAATTCACCAGGCCGGTGCCGATGTTCGCAGATCTTTCGTGCAGGTAGTCTGCAAGCTGGAAGAAGGTGACGCCCGCTTCCACCACCACAGACCCGGACTCGGCACCCTCCTCGAGCTCAAAGTCCGAGATGCCGTTCACGTACTCCGTCCGGATGATTACAGTCGGGTCGTCAGAGCATTGCGTGTCGTACCACATGTGCCCCTTACCTCCCGCACGCACTTGCGTGCCCGAGGCTGCTGCCTCCTTGACCAGATCGACAATCTCATCCACACTTGTGGCATTGTGCACAGCCGTCACATTGTAGCAGGACGGGTAGCCCTCTCCGTCAAAAGTGTTGTAGACAAAAGCAGTGCATGCACTCGCTGACATCGCGAGCAGCGCAAAGCTACGAAGAGGAGCCATAGCGAAACGTAGGGCAAAGGGCCGGTCAACCTTTACCAATGCCAATGCAAACGGCGACACCGGGGGCCGGAACAGCCCAGTGCATTCGTTTCACATTGCCAGTATATATATCCCATTTACACCATACCAACATCCCCTCAACATCGCGGGCCTGTCGTTGGAGTACAGTATCAGTCTGTCGCGCGTGTGCACCGTCCGCGGGGCCCGTTCGGCCTCCTGTGTCTCCTGTGCGGCTCGACATGTGATGGCGATCCCTCACTGACAGGCCTTAATTTCGACCGAGAAGCAGTGTGGATGAGGTCACTCGTCCAGATGGGATCTGGGGAAACAGCACGACCGACAGGCACAGGTACAACAGGCGCCGGGCGGGCCTACCGCATTGCACGGCGAGGGCAACGTCGCGCAGCCAAGTGCGGAGGCGCCAAGCCGGACCCCTGACTGATCAGGGAAGACGCATCGCCAGGACTGGGCCGAATGCCACCTCAGACTCGCCCGTCAAAGGCATTGATTTGCAGTGCCGAGCGAGGGCAAGTCAAATCGCGGGGGGGCGCCAAGACTTAAGCTTTTGGTCCTCTGATTTTGTAATAGTTAGTCCGAGGGAGGGAGCGACAAATGGTCGCTCGTGATGAGGAGACAAAGTTACCAGGTTGAGACATGTTAGCGCCGGCACTTCCACCAATCCACTCAACGAACGCAAACAGCAACGTGACTGACAAGCAGTTTGCACGAGAACATATGTGTAACCGATTGCTATTGTCAATCTAGAATTGCTGCTATGGTAGACTTACAATTTGATGAGTGCATTTGGACTAGCATTATCAGGCGATGCAAAACTCACTTACACCCATCTTTTGTTGGAAAGGTCCACTCCTAAGCACCATTTTCCTCTTCGAAACCCGCGGAACGCCGTGCAAGCCCAAGAAGATACCTGATTTCATCTAGGAAATTCCATATAGTTCGGATTGTTTAACAAACTGATCGGTGGATACCCTCGGCCATTTTCTTAGTCTCGCCGCCGATGATCTCTTTGCCCCTTTCACCACTTCTCTTCTTATCAGCATCCCCTTTCTTAGCTTCTTGCTCGCTCTTTAGCAGCACTTTCCGCTTGTTCTTGTGCAGAACTGATAGATCGACCTCGTCGTTATCCATTAGCGTCTGCGTGACCTGGCAAATGTCGCTGATGAGGCGGTCCAGGAGGTCAAAGCTCATGCTTTCGCGGATGACAACACGAAGTATCTCCGTATGGTCCTCGTTCGGCGGTAAGGCATAGTTGGGTATTATCCATTGCCTCGCCCGTAGAAGAAGAGATACGTTTTCCTGCTTGATGTGGGGGTACTCTTTTTTGAACTCGTCGGAAAATCGGAAGGAAACGACCGGCAGACTGGCGATGTAATGAGCTGACGTCTCCGGAGCGGATGATACCGCTGCCTTGACAGTATCGGCAATCCTCGCTGGGTTGGAAACTTTCCTGTGAACATCAGATACACAGTGATACCAGCCAGTCTCTTCCAGGGCATTGGACAGCAGCCGTGCATTGGCGAGGCAGTTCTCCATGATCTCGCGATAGCCAGAGAAGCCAAGGTGAATGAGGTTATAGTACTGAACGATGACTTGTGCACCGGGGCGAGAGAAGTTCAGCGTGAAGGATTTCTCTGTTCCACCGAGATAATGAAGCTCGAATATGAGATGCTGCGGAAGGAACGATTCATCGCGCCACACGATCCAGCCCACACCAGCGTACACCAAGCCATATTTATGGCCTGAAGCATTGATAGACTTCACTCGAGGCAGCTCAAAGTTCCTAGAAGAAAAATCAGCAGCAAATCAGGCCTCGGCTTTTGAAAACTGACCATTTTGGTCCACCAGCTTGGCAGTGGGTAAAAGGGGCTACGAAGCCGCCACTGGCTGCGTCGACATGAATAGGGATATCGATTCCCGTCTTCTCTTGATACTCGTCCAGAATCTTCGAGATTTCTTCTACAGGCTCATAGTGGCCCGTATAAGTACTGCCGAGAATGACAAAGATGCCGATTGTGTTCTCGTCAATATTTTCTCGTACCAGGTCGGGGTCCAACCGGAACTTGCTCTTCGCTGAGACGGGCAGGATCCGCGCCTCGACATCGAAGTAGCGAGCAAACTTCTCCAGGGCCACCTGAGCATTGGATCCCATGATGATGTTGGGCTTGAGGGTATCTTTGCCCTCTGCCTGGCGCTTCTCTTGCCAGCGCCGCTTCATAGCGAGGCCTCCTAAGTGGATGGCTTCGGAAGACCCAGTAGTGGCGGATCCAACCGCCTTCTCGCCGGACTGCACTCCCCACAAGTGCGCAAGGATGCTGATGCACCTGTCATGAATGGCTAACATGGCGGGATACTCGTCAGAGTCTGCAAGGTTCTTGGCGAAATTCTCGATCATGAGTTGTTGCGCATTGGCCTCGCCGTACGTATTCACGAAGCTGTCGATAGTATTAGAGAGAGCTCGTAGTGGACATGTGTAAGACTTGCCTGGCGAGGTTGAGATTTGGACGGCCATCAAGATCCAACTCGTCTTTGATCATATAGTACACGGTGTCGCTCGGGGCACCATCATCCGGAATTTTGAACTTCGGGATGCTCATCTGAGCTTCATATCGAGTACCCATGTAAGGGGTTAGGTGTTGGCTGCCGCCTTGGCCGCGCAGGCCCTCATGTCCCGGCTCGGCCAGGTGGATGTCACGCAGGCGTGATACGACATCTTCTGGGTCGACCTAGCGAGATGTTAGCCCATCTTCTGCAGGGAAATCCCACCTTGGTAGAAAAGAAGAAGGAAGGGCAAGACTGACGTGACGTGCGAGAACCATGCTGTCGGTCTTGATATTGCGCTCTTCGATTTCCCGCTCAGGGTGTTCCCGGGTATCTGCCAGTAATCACCAGAGTATCGGGGATTGAGAACGGCTGAGATATTCAGAATATATGTCCTGAGATCGTTTTGTAAGGACTATGATTTGAAGCGATGAGCTGATTCACATCCTCTTCGCTGCCCCACCACGAAGCCTAACGTAGGTAGGTAGGTATGACGACATGAAATGGACTTGTCACTGGCCTCTCAATTATTCCTGATTTTTTTGTCACGATCAAACAAAACTAGCCAACCAATATTCGACTTTATCAAGCAAAATCAGTGACGCAGCATAAAGTTAGTAGAATTACTCATGTGTCCTCTCGGGATGTGAATGACCGCATTGCTCATCACTGCATCAGACCACACTACATGCCGAAGGGCTGGAGATCGATCCTGTAAAAGCTTGGCCCTGTAAGTCCCCCGCAGAATACCGGTAGGCTAAGCTTTACAGTGGGTACTACGCCGGGACCAGGTTAATTTAACTGGGATTCAGCGAACTTCCGAGTTTCAATTCTTACTTTGCAGCAGCGTCGAAGATGAAGCTTTGAACCCATGTGGAGAGATACGATGTTCTCATATCTCCAGCCTGGCCATGCAGGTCTCTGACTCCTGTTTGAGGCTATTCAAAAATCATATCGTTAACGACATTGTTGTTAATCTTACTCTATGCCTTTCGGTAGATCAAATGGGGCTAAGAACATAATATCTCAGCCTCTTACAGAGTGAAGTACTACCTAATCACTCGCAAACGCCATCTAGAATCACTGCCAACCTGGATGTATCAACTAGGCTTCCACCATGGCCGTGGTTGTCCCCCCACCACCCTTCACCTCATTAACTCGAGAATGGCCATGGACAAAGTCCTCTGCGGCGATGCCGGCTTTCACGGTAGCTGCCCGCTCTCCTTCAAATTGCACTGCGATATCTTCGAGCACAAGGCTTTTGGTCTCTGGGAACATGAAGTAAATCAACGAGAACCAACAGAAAAGCAGTCCAAGATACACCACGTAGTACTTCCAGCCGATCGCATCCAGTGCAATAGAGTTGACAAAAGCATCGAAGGTGAGTAGTACAGCAGAGAATGTAACAGCGACAGCGCTGGCCTTGGCTCGCATGTAGAACGGCAGCACTTCAACCATATAGCAGTAGAGCAGGGGGTTGCATGCAATGTTAAACGAAGCGTCGTAGAGGAACAAGATGACAACAACGCCGTACCCTGCATTCTTGCTGATACCCTCTGCATACAATGCGGAACAGATTATCATGAGAATATTGGAGCAGATCATCAAGCCAAACGACACGAGCCACATGGTGCGGCGACCGAAACGCTCAGCCATAAAGATTCCTGATACGGAACACAGGAAGTTGAAGATCTGGAGGCCTCCGTTGATGCCTGTTTGCTGCATAGTGGACGTAATTCCAACTTGACTGAGAACAACTGAATAGTAGTAAGACATAACGCTCTGGCCACACCAGTCGGTAATCAATGGTAGACCACAAGCAATTATGGTACGCTTGAGATTTGCCCGGGTAGACCAGAGGACATTCCAGCCTTTCGCATTGGCTTCGGCTTCCATCTTGAGGGTAGTCGAGATCTCTGTGACTTCAAACTCAACCAGCTCGTCGGTCTCATCTCCGTTCGCGTGTAGTCTAGTGAGAAGTGTTCGTGCCTCGTTATGAAGAACGGCCAATTTTTTTTTTGTATTAATTATCACCATAGGCTTTGAGACGATTGAGGGGACAGTTGAGTCGAAAGCAGGTTTAAACGTGCTTAGAGTCAGGCAGCTTCATCATTTACGGGACTTCTTCAAGCATTACACAAAAGCTCTTTGAATGCTATACCTAAATTCCATTCAAGTGATCTCTTCTCCTCTTCGTACAAGTTTTCCTGTACACTCGGCCAAGTCATATTACTCGAGTTGTCCAGCACAGTCTCTCATTTATTGAAGACGGCTTCAATATTCCATTAATCCGGCTAATTTGAGCATTCTCTCTGTAGGTTCCAGTTCCTCTCGAGGCACCTTCCTATTGTATGTGTCGGGTTGACCTAAACGCGGTCGATTCCAATCGTCCCTGAACCAGAGATTGTCATGCGGCCAATGAGTTGTGCCCTGCTTCCTCTTGAAAATCTCCTTCTTTATCTCAATATTCTCAGTTGTTGCAAATCGTGCTGGAGTGTAACAGGCGTAAAACAGTGCTCGAAGTTGGTCCCCTTCCGGAAGAACATTGTAATGCACGCATCGAGAATCCCACAGAATAATATCGCCCGGTCCAGCACAGACTTTCACAATTTCACAGCCGCGGTCTGTGAACCACCTGACCTGCTCCTCGGAGAATCCTCGCCAATCCTCACTACCCCAGTCCGCCTTCTTTCCGTCGTTGTGTTTGAAGAATTCGGCGAAGTACTTGTGCGAGCCTTTGAGTACAACAAGTCCACCGTCCTTAGGTCCATTAGGCGCAATATTGATGATGCCTTGCACGCAGTGTAATCCTTTTCGTAAGGGTGACTGGTCGACGTGAGGCCACGGTGCAGTCTCCTCTTTCGGAACAAGGTTTCTCACACCGGGGAGGGTAAAGTTGAATCCATCAAAAGAGACAAGAAGTTGATCGGTATTCCAGACCTCTTCGAAGACCTTGATAACGGACGGCTCCAGTCGGGCTTCCCACACAAACTTCTCGTGCTGGCATGCATATCCGTGATACATTCCACCTTTCATGTTAGTCGGAAGGTGCTGTGGGATATGAGTTGCTGGATTGTCTCTTGAGAAGCCATATGGAAAAGATTCCAGCCAAGAAAAGAAAGAATCCATGTAGTAGTCACATCGATCTTGTATCAAAACACCTGGAACCACGGCCACGCCGTAATCCTCTAGATCAGCCTTCCATTGAGGAGTTGCGGGCTCGAGGCTTCGCTCGATCGCTCGAGGAGATTCTGCATGAGGAGCCATGGATGCCAGGGGTTCTAGATGGAAATGAAGGGTACTCAAAGCAATAAGAAATTTGTCATCAACTTATTTCCGTAGTTGATGAGGTTGTTGAAGTCTTCTGAAATACTGGGGATCCACTTCTACATTTCTTCGTTATCCGGAACGTGAGCTTTCCTTGTCGGCGAGATCCGATGGACACTTGGATAACATCGTCGGGCGAGGATCCCCGGATATCACTTTTCTGCAATACACCCAAGCCTAATTCTCACCAATGTTATAGTGACGATAAATGATTACCACCAATCTGGAAGTTCAGGAACTCGCAATCTTGCAATTGAAAGCGGGCAACACCGCCTTGAAATGCCTCGGCCGACACTATCATAAAGCGACAAATATGGATCGGCCTCACCCCTATTGGTGTTTAGGCGCATTTGGTAGGTGGTGAAACACTCATACCATAATAATTCGACCCACAGTCATGTGAAATTTACATATGAGCAAAATGTGCGAATGGTATCCAATCAATGCCACACCTCCTCAAAGGAGGGGATTGAAACCTCAACCTTCACATATCTTATACAAAGGATTGTATATTAGTACGACGCGCTAACCAATTGAGAAATGAAATCTAACAATCTCCTTCGAGGAGGTGTGGCTTGAATTTTTTTTGCGGAGGCTAATTGTATTTCGTCAACTAAGTTTGATGAGTGGCCATAAACTAACAAAGAGTTGCTCCTTGTTCCCCTCCAATACTTGCAATGTGGGAAATCCAGAATGTCGACAACAGAAACAGCATTTACCTTGTAAACAACTGAAATCTGCGATACCATGATGAGTACTTGTGTATGGTCTACGTTGGTGCCGCAGCGTTCGTATTGCCGAATCCACGGTGCTTCCTTCAAGCAAAATATACTAAGCTAGTATCGCAGAGCAGGCCGACGACAATGCCCAAGCATTAACATCTCTTTCCGGAGCTACACGAGCTGCTAGATTTGTAACGCATGGTGCCCGGTTACTTCCTAGAAGTTTACTCATTAACCCAGTTCTCCTCTAGGCAAACTCCTCGACTATAACGCATTTTGCACTATCAGACGAGCTCAATAAAAGGCTTTCTACTTTCTGCTAAGGGATAGAACGCTCTCAAATGGACACCATAATCAACTGACAGGAGATGCAATGACGATTTGGATTTACACTTTCACATCTAGAGTAGCAATGATGCAATTACTGAGTTCTAGCATATCATGCAATGGCGCAGACGGTTGGCTCTGTATAATTCTTGCAGCGTCGAGACGTTTGAGGCATTGACATTAGGATCGATGCGGTGTATAGTTTTGAAAAGGCCATAACCAAGTCAGAAAGCAGAAGCTTCTAAACCAACGATAACCATCTGCTTAGACTCCAAAAAGCTTGTGATTTGGTTTTCTTTCGCGACTAAGTGTACAATTCAGGAAATCGAACCACTTCCCCTCTGTCACGCGCTCAGGACAGAATGCTGTGATTGTACCTAAGCAGGATGTCGAATCAGACTGCCGAAGATCCCACTGTTCTGCTGCTTCTAGCATCGTGTTTCATGCCCTCTAGCTACTCAATCCCTCTTAATTGCCGCCACTTTGCAAGAATACATCCAGACCATGCTCTCGACCGTGACGATAGACCTCTATGAACTGTTCTAGAAGCTCTGAAGAAGCAAAATCGAGCTCTGGAGCACCCTGAATGTCGTTGCCCGATTCGACGAGCCAACACCGAGCTATGAAGACTGCCAGTGCTTCATTATATTCGCGAACTCGCGACTCCAACCAGTGATCATGTGCTTGCGCAACTGCCTCACTAATTCCTTCTGAATCCATGTACTTGGGGAATCTATCAATCCCTCCAAAGCCGATGCCCGGAATGCCAACCCCCTTATCATCGACCGTCTCAAAAACTCCGATTAATGAACCGTCTCCTCGCCTACCAAAAGGGACAAGCCGTACGTAGACAGGTGCTCTTCTCCGTCGTTCTACAGGAGTAGGTTTCTTAACTTGATGATTGCATGACATGCCGTACAGAACGCGACATTTTGCTACATCACAGGGAGAACGTGGAGGCGGACTGGCTTCACCAAGGCGTCCAATCAGTACTTTAGGGATCTCTCCAACCACGCTCCTGTCAGGGGCTTGAAAAGGCTCTTTTGTCGTCCATCCATTCTCAAAGACCTTCTTCAATAGATTGGCGGCTACCTTATGCCTAGGTTCTCTCGTCGTGTGATGTGCTGCTCTCACTGAATCGGCAATAGGAGAGTATATGTGGCCGTACCGCGAACCCTGCTCAGTAGTAATCTCGGTATGATTCGGAGTGATGAGAGGTATTTTGGAGTTCAGCATGATAGACATGCTTTCGTGGTTGCTTCGTCGTGAAATGTCTAAGGCAGGGTCGACTAAGAGTGAGCGCATGCATGTTAATCGAGATCCTCAAACTAACTTCGTTCTCGGAAATGACACACGTCTTCCAAAGTTCCCAAACTCGGTTGAGAGGTGGCTGCCTTGGTTGTCAATGGATCGCGACCAGTTTAGAAGAACTTTTGACCGATCGAGCAAGGTAGAGATCGGCGAGGACGGGTTTTATCGCAGGAACTAGCTTCGGGCTTTTTCATTCGGGTCGATATGAAAGACGACGTTCCAGTGGTCACAACGGGAATCAATTTGAGGGATGATTTCAGGATCTTTGTGTGGGGGTTGTTTGGGAGTCTACTCTCCTAGTTGTAGTGGAGTAAGAGGTGAGGCCCGAAGATGTTGTTTCTCGAAAGTTTCGTTGTGCTGGGTTGGAAGAAAAGAAGGCTTCACAGAATCGAAAACAAAAAGGAGGATAAATAGTGAAGACTTTCTGACGCTGATTGTGCAACAAAAACTGAAAGATTAGGCTTTTAGCTCGTGGAAGACCAGATATATGGATATAGAGGGAAGGAACGCCTTCTGGTTTGAAAGGATCGCATTTCAGTGACATTTCTTCTACGTAGCGAAGCACCTGACGAACCTCAACTTGTTGCTCATGTCGAGACAGTATTTTTTATCCTGCCAGGCCGGTTTTGCTGCTCGGATGGCACCGAAAGTTTTTGCCAGTATTGCATACAACCTACCTCCATATAGCATAGCAACTCGAGATGGTCCTGGTCCTTTTGAGATTGATCCAAACTATTCTGAGCATATAGTCATAAGTCTCGCGACTTCTTTGACTGTTGTAGGCTGCTTGTCAAGTTTAGAGCGTTTCGGCTTACCGAACCTGTGATTGATGGCGCTTCCGACTAGACTTGACAGACTCTGGATCACCCTATAAACATGAACCACTGTTTGAATGTCCTTGAAACATGATTAATAGTTACGTTCGCAATAATATCAACCAAGTTCGAACTGATGTAATTGCAGTGTTGCGGGTTGACGCTAATGAGGTGAAGTGCAAACCCAAGGGCAGTAGGCTCTAGATTCGATGCCTGGGTTCGGGATCTTTTGTTTGCTTCCTTTGTTGAGTCTTCCTCGAATTCTGCAGCAAGGGACTCCGTAGTCTAACATGCGAGTCTTGATTCTGCTTTGATTAACGCTATCAAATACGTCTCGACTAACATCACTCTTAGGCCCTGGAAGACGTCCGTTTTGCATGTTAGTCGGAGGGTGATCCCATTTACTTTCCAGATGCACCAAGCACCCACGAAAACGAGACATTCTACTTGAAAAGGGGACTCATCGCACGTTCGCAGATGTCAGCTTACCCAAGATCAAAGATCACTCAGGGTGCTGTCTTGCCCTCCCAATTCGGCAACAGCTATCTCAAATCCCACATCCAAACCCCGCCCTGGTGCCAATAGTGGAGATGTGCTAGAGCATACCCGCCCAGTGGACACTTACACATAAAACGGAGTCTGTCCCCGAAATCCTTCGAGGCAGAAGGAATGCCAGGCTGTGGACCTCTTGGTTTTTTTATTTCCCCACGATCATGGAGGGAAATTAAATCCTTACCATTATCCTGCATCAGTCGATCTCAGAAGGCTTAGGGTGTCGATGGCAGAGCACGCAATCTGAGATCTCGGGTCCGCTGGGCAGCCCGTCCTTCCTGTGGGGGCGGATCCCACACACTCACTGCTGAAAACCTTAAATCAGCGACATAGCTGCGAGAGGCTGGCACAACACATCTGGTGCACCTTGTGTCTCACCTGCTCTCCATAAGGCACCGATCTACGAAAAAAGGTCTACGTTTTAACCCCTCAACGGCCCCCTTCCCTCAATGTTTGTTCTGTTCATTCACGTTTTATCAATAAGCAACCAATACATGTCACGACGCGCTGTTCGGAGGACACCCTGTTCCCGATTTCTTTGTCCTGGAAGAATCATTTGCTTCGACTTCGTTTCAATACCCTAACCTAAGTTGTCGAGACTATGATCTCACTAATAGGATAAAGAACAAGTAGGCTCAGACAAGAAAACCTGCCAAACCGGCATCCTGACCTGCGCATGATACCCCACGAACTCCTCAAAGCCCACCACAAATCGGTGATCAGAGTCAAAAAAGGTGGCACCAAAGAGTATCCCCTTTTTTTTTATCCTCCCACCGGAACGACACTGCCGAGTCCATGCTACTCAATGACAGAAATAAGTCGTACATACAAGAAGTTGAAAGATGAAGAACAGGGGGCTCGACTCGCGAAGAAGCCTATCAACGAGTCCAAACCAACGAAGAGAAGTATGCAAATGCTCCAGAGTTTTCATATGTCAACGCCCATGGTTTTTGGATGGCCATGAATCATGTCTTTTTGAGAGTCGTCAAGTGATGAGATGATGCAAGAGGAGCCCGTCACGCGAGGAACACAGCCCTGCGAGAGGGTCCTTTTCGGGGGTGGATGATGGAATGTTTCGTTACGCTTCCAAAGCGCAAAAAGGTTGAAATAAGACAGCGTCGAAAGATCCTGTGTACAAATGTATACAGTACAGGAAACGAAGTGAGAAGCGAAAATAAGAACGAGCCTCCAGCGCGAAAGAATGGAACCAGGCCAAACCACCATTCAGATAGCTGACAACACCACTTCGGGCAAAAAGATGACCGACTGCAGCACGCATGCGATGATGTACGGCAACTTTCGAAGTTAATTTACGCCGAAACGGTAGCCCCGCCGAGAGGGGGCAACACATTCTTGCCATACTGGCCACCCATGTTGCCTATCATCACCATTAGCTCCGAGGTCGAAGGGTGGGCTCACATGAGACTTACCGGCAGGGTAGTAGTTGCAAACACTGAACCAGGCACCCATCCCTTGAACCATGGTGCCAGGGGCGCAGTAATGCGCATCACAGCCGACCTGCTTTGAGCCAGCCCAGACGACTTGAGTGTAATGGCCGAATGACTCAAAGTTGCTGAAGTCTGGGTTGTCCAAGCCATAATCGCTTGAAGGGAAAAGATCAAGCTCGCCGTTGTACCACATGTTGGTAATGGCTTGCGCGATAGCCTTCGAGGCACCTACAGACTCGGCGTCACCTGAAGTAGCCCACATGGCAATGTTCTGGCCGTAGCCGCCGCCACCAGGGGTCCTACGCGAATATTAGTCTCAAGGCATACGGAAAGAGATGAAAAGAATGCGTACAGGTCGTGTGCAAACTTGCAGGACTTGGCGGTCTGGGCAGCGTAACTAGCATACGATTCACCCCAGCTGACTGCGGGAGCCGAGTTGTTCACACGGTGAAGGTTGTGGTGGTAGACAGCGGTGCTGGCGAAGTCTGTGGGTGAGGAAGCAGGCTCAGCATCAACCACAGGCGTGGAAGCGGGCGTGTTGACTACGGTAGGAGTCTCAACGACCGGGGCAGGAGCCTCGGTGGTTGGCTCTGGCGCTGGTACCTCGACAACAGCCGGAGCAGTGGTCGGCTCAGGCTCGGGGGTCGGGGTGGGAGTCTCCGGAGGAGGAGGGGGAGGAGTGCTCGAAGTCGAGCTCGTGGTCGATGTGGAGGAGGTGGTGGGCAGCTCCTTAGTCCGATGGGCGCCCGCGAAGAACATGGATTTGGGCTCCTCGCCCGCTGTAACGGTAACGTACACGATGTCGGTCTCGATAACCGTCTTCATGACTCGCTTGTCGTTGATGGGGCTGGCCACGGCCAGAATGGCGCCAGCGGCGACGAGGAAGATGGATGATTTCATTTTCGATTGTCTTAGGTCTGTTTGAAGTAACCAAAAGAGTGTCGACTATTTCAAGGTTAGCATGCGAAGAGAATGTGTAAAATGGAGTTGCGGTCGAGTGACCATTGGAGGTGCTGAGCGAGCAGTGATTCAAAAGATTTGGAGGTATGTTGTTCAAGGGAGTGACTCGACTCTCAGTCTGATGAAATGTTTGGGAAGACCTTGTTTGCAAAGCATGTTTAGGCTCGAGGGTAATAGAGCCTGTCAGGTACGCCAACCTAGAGTACTCCGGATGAAGACAATAGGACTCGACAGCTGGCAAGCGCCACTGATAACAAAGAAGCCTTTGTTATTATCTCGCTCGAGACAAAGTAAAGTCGCCTTTACTTCCAAAATCAAAAATAAACATGAAAGCAGCAGCAGTCGAGGGGTTGCTGGGCACAGTCGGGCTCAATGAAAGAGGATGCTATGATACGTACGTGATGCTTCTTGTTAGGTTGTTTTGCCTAGTGGAAGTGGGGTCCAAGAAACGAGGTTGATCGTGTCCAAAAGGTGACTAGGAGACGGATGAAGATGGTATTTATCGAGGTCTTCTCAGAACCAGCTGGCGGCAGCACTGCTGTTCGTGATCCGTCAAGGACAGGAGTCGAAAGTGGTGTGGTTGGACAACAGCGAACTTGTCGACTGTCGGGCAAGAGAGGGTGTGTGGATGGATGGTCGAGATCGTGAAGGATTGGTCTGATCTCTATTTGCCTCTTTGGAAGACTGTCTGGGGCAAAAACAAGCCTGTTGAAGGATTGACAAGAAGAATGGAATCGGATGAGGCCTCGTGGCTCGGGGTTGACAAGATCCTGCGGAACGATGGAGGACGAGACACCCACGAGGAGAATTTGCTGGTCACGATGAACGATGATGATCGATGTTTCGGAGAAGAGCAAGCGTCCTAGGAGCGAGACAGGCCAAAAAAGAGGCGAGATATCGCGAATTGCGCGAGATTTTGAGGTTGTATTTTCAAGGAGTGACTGTGTGCCGGGAGGACACTCGAATCGGTCGCCAAAGGAGCGGGGCGGATTCGAAGTTGGTTTTTGTTTGGGGGGGAAAGGATGAAGGGATGATGAAGGAAAGACTGTGGTGAGGTCGGAAAGGTGGCCGTGGGGAGGGTGAACCTGCAAACACGGATGGGGAGAAGGAGGGAGGAGGAAAGGGTAGAAGAAGGTTGTGTGAGAGGGTGGGTGAGGCTAGAAAAATGAATGGACTACCGACACGCGGCGAAGAGCAGAATGATCAAAAAGGAATGGACTGGAGTTGGTCTGGCCCGCCTACGCACAGTATGCAGTGATGCAAGATGGTGGAGGTGAGGAAGAGAAGGAAAGAAAGGGACGACAACGACGATCCAGGCCGGGAAGGCGAGTTTTACACAAACAGTATCCAGGTACCGGCCGAGAGGGGCGTCAGTGTAGGGAAGGAGCGGACGCCGCAGACCTAGACATCTAGCAGGGGAGGCTTGCTCTTGCTTGCTTGGGACGAAAATGAGCGAGGGGAGGGAAGGAAGGACCCTGAGCAAGCATGCCCGCACGTACATGCATGTATTCTACAGTACTGTAGGCACTTAAAACAGACGGTACACATAACACACAACCAGCCGCTGCCACTTTACACTGTTGCAAATGAATATCTCAGGTACTGTACTTGATTCCAGCCACGGCGCATTCATCCATCCCAGCGAACTGGGCGTTGTTGAGGTGTTTGGTTGTTTGCCCTTTCCTTTCCCTTCTTCTTCTTCTTCTTCTTCCCTCTTCCCCCTTCCCCTCGTTCCTGGGCTAATTTCGCTGTGACGTACCAATTAAGGGGGTCCATTTAGCGTCACATTTAACATTTGGCAGCGTGCATTGCGGGGGGCGGCTGCAACCTCGAACCCATGTTCCGAGGGCGTGTCTCCAGCAAAGATACCACCTCACAAGCCATGAAACCGCCTCTATGTACTCGACTCAAACTGATAGCCCCAGATTGACAACCAATTCAGGTACGGTACCTGATCTAGAGACAGCCACAAGGGCGACGAGGTGATAGCTGACGATGCTGGCTTGTCGCCGTGGTGGCTCACCTTATACCTACCTAAGGACATGATCCAGTTGCTTGCTCCCTATCTGGCTCACGGTGCACGGCATGGAGATGAGGTGAAAGTAATATGAGCACACACAAAAACACACACATGCGACGGCGGATGACTGATTGATTCACTCTGACGCCAACAGCAGGAGAGACACCGTGCAACCCGAATTGAGGCACCTTCCTCGCTACCTGAGCAACCCAGCAGCCTTCCAGTGAGCAGCAAAGCAGGTGTCATTCTCTGCTGATTCGTCTCCGTACAGGCCGTTTATTCCAGCATAGGGTCCAGCAGCATGACAGCTGTAAACAGAGATGGGCGGTGATGGACAGAGCGTACCCGCCCAGGAGATGGTGATAGCCCCCAGATCTGCCGCGCGGGGATTGCGGTGACGTCGGTAGATCATCCTTAACAGCAACATTGAGGGCGCCGCTCTGCCGTCCCCTGCCGACCCTCTAGAGACGCAGTCTTCGGTCAACTCGATCAAATCAACTCGTGGCCGACAGACAGCCAGGCATCGTGAGCCGTGGCATGCGATGTGTCAAGATGGCATTTGGCAAGTCCAGTCATGAGGCCATTAAGGTTAATTGCTGAGGAATGGTTCGTCCAATGTTCCGGACTGTGGCATCTCTCCAGGGGTTCCAAGGTTGGTTCCTGGATCCCTCCGGCTCATGATTCGCGATTCCATCACTAGCCGCACGCCCCTTGGTACACTGCTTCCCCCTGCCTTACGCAGTAGCTGCACAGGACTGCTGGTGTTGGTGGCCTTTCCCCGGTCGTCCCATCTCCATCTGCAAGTCCAATCTGGTGCCTCGCGGTGCCTTGCAGGGAGGGTGCCCAGATGCAGCCCGGACGGCCCAGTCTCATCGCTGATTGCTGCAGGGATCGCTACTGGACTGCGCTACCGTTAAAGTGCGTGCGGGCGCTGAGTGGGCTGTTTGCGCCAAACAAGATCCCCCAAGTGCCTCCCTGAAACGAGGCTAATTTCGGTGGGGATCCGACCAAGAACTTCCACTCGTAAAACCTCTCTACCGCCAGTTTGTTCTCGCCTCCTCCCAAGAAAACCAACTGGGCACACTGTCCGTGGGCTTCCAGGCCATCGGCACCCTGCCTTCGATTTGCTTCTCCGCTGTACTAGCTACTGTAGCTAGCTGAGCCTGTACCCAGCTTGAAACGGGCTAGCCGTCGATAGAGCCACCGTGGATTCCACAGTACACCGCGAAACCGATGCGAGATGAAATCCAGCGGCGTGCAAATTGGAATTCTGGGGTTTCTTGATATAGACCTTGCAAGTTGCGACATTTTCTACCGGTGACTTCCTTGATCGCCTGCTACTACACAGTATGCATCATGCTGGGCTCTCAGCTTCCAACGATCGATGATCTCCGCTGTTGCAGCTCCAGCTATCGAGATCCAGAGACAGGCAGCTCCATGGATCATCCTACTAAGCTTTTGTTTGTGCTGTTTGTGTCTCTAGTTTCACCAGATCCCGGGAGAGAGAGCCACAAGCAACCCGAAGATGAAGGGTTGTTCTGCAAGGTCTGGACAACCCTAATGGCCGCCTCAGAGACTCTCCTGGCATGCTGTCCTCCCCCCTTCGCTGCTGGGCAAGGCTCCAGAGTGGCAGCTACATGATTCAGAATGCGTTCGATTGTGGGCGTCCAAGGTTAAGGTTGAACGACGCCGGCCCAACCCAAGACAGCGCCATTGTCCACGACGCGGGGCTGGATTGTAATGGAGCGGCCTCTAACGTTAGCGTCTCTATTGTTCTCTCGCCTCTATTCGACATTCCAGCACTCCCAGGGATCAATTCATCCTCGTGTCGCCCTTTCTACAGCCGGCTTATCAGGAGGACTGGCACAGGACGGATAGTGGCCGATGCATGAGAATCATGTCGCCGCCGCGAGGGCGTGGCCCAGACAAAACTAATTACATTGTTGGTCTGGGCACATTCAATTTACATGGCAGCCAAGTCTTCGATTCCAGGGCTCCCTGGCGTATCCTACTTGGGGCAGTCCTCGCGCAGTGGGTAAGGTACGTAATGCTGGATCTGTGCCGCTTGGGTTGTATCCTAGTATTCTCGGCGCCTCCCCTTTCTCTGCATGCGCCGTTCTATTTTGGCGCCGCAGGTACAGCGACGATCCGGCTCTCGTTGCGAGCCTCTTCTTTTTTACAAATATGCCGCAAGGGCAGCACAGCAGCGACTCGTCCTCTCAAAAGGGCGCCAATTTCTCCGGGGCTTCAACATATGTGAAAATGACATCAACGGGGCGGTTCTCGTGAGGGCACAACTCATTCAATTCTTCAGCTGCCGTGTCTCTCAGCCCATCCGGACCCCTTAATTGGCGGAAGGCCCCTGCCAATGTGATGCGCTTCCCCAGGCGGTTTGCTGGCCCGGAGAGTGCAGCAGGGGACAGGGCCACAGCCAACCGGGAGTGAGGCTTCAGGCGTCCGCACTGAGAACGACAGGCGCCATTTCCGTCGTCTTTCTCCTGAAATCTCTCAATCACGAGAACCTCAATTATCCTGAGGGAAAGGTAATCACAATGAGCGAGCCACATCCCCCACCACGGAAATTTGTTGCTGCTGCGCCGTAATGCGAATCACCTCTGTTGTTGTGTTCCTGCAATTGTGCCAAACAACGGACTCTAATTCGCACCCCCTTGATCAAAAGTGCTTACTGATGCGTCTTTGGCGGCGCAGATGTGTACGTAACCGATGAACGCACCTACTTGTTTCCAGTTTCGTGGCAATACGAGCGTTCTCATCCTCTGTCGTAAAACATCTGACCTGCAAAACCAAACCCTGGGCTGATTGGCTTCGGCGCAGAGGCGTGGAAACATGGAGCCAGGTCGGCGATCCCCTGACCCGGCCCGTAGAAAAGACCGCCTCTAGCCAGCACACCCGGGGGATAAGGTACCGTAACGTTCTTACGTCCACACCACCTCCGAGAACAAGTTTTTAGGTGCCCGGTAGCCCGGGAGAGGCCTTGTAAGAGTTCACTTGAGAAGTCATTTTTTTCAAGCCCGGTGGGTAGGAAGTATATCAATCTTGTTTCACCATCTCGAGAAGAAAAGGAGGCAAAATTACAACTCGACCCGATCGATCTCTTCTGAGTTCGTAGCTTACGCAAGCTCAAGGAGACCAATAAAAAGTTCAATCTTTCAGATTCAATGTAGAATATCAAGCTATGGGCGATGTTTGTGACAAACAGTGTCTTTCCCAGTCCGGTTTTCTCCGGGCCAGGGTTCTGGGAATATTCTGTACTTGGGAGCTGTTCTACCTGTAGGAACGCTTGCCTCGTTCGTTCATGGTTCGCCTTCTAGGCCATGTGGTTTCGGGAGTATATGAACGGACGTTGTAAGACTGCTGCCTTAGAGGGCTATTCGCTGAGTGAGACATGTGAGCTCAGCGATGCCATGACTGATAAACAGGCCTGGAACGGTTACTCCTTAACGGGTTACCTTCGGCCTTGCAACATCTTCAGTGCTCTCTTATCCTGACGAGACTCTTTGTAGAGAATGTAATCCACACGACTCCGGTAGACGAGATCATAATTGAAACATCATCCAAACAACTCTCTCCTAATTGTTAAGGACTATATTCCAGCGGAGAGGACCAATCTGTCCTCTCTCCAGATATCCAGAGACTACTACCATGTAGATATCAAAAGCCTCGCTAACACATTCTCACACATAGTGGCTTCAGATCCTAAAGCACCTTTCTGCTCACGGAAACTAACCCAGTCCCGAGTGATTACCTCCCCACGTTGCGGCTCTACACAAAGGAGTTCGTCGGAAACCTCCATGGTGTCTTTGCCTCCGTCAGCAGCTGACAGGCCGGAAACTGTCCTACCACACCAACAGCCCACGGTTGCGTACCTCGGCGCCACTCCTCTACACGAATAGCGAACGTCCAAGACGTCCATCGCTCGGCACATATGCCGCTCGCGGTCTGGGCCGGATGGCACATCGCAGGTGCTGTGTGTGTCTGTCACGAATATAGTGGGAGGCGTCCGCCCCGAGCCTCTGGACGGATCTACCAACCCGGCCTACTCGGCACGTCTTGCTCCTCTCGGCTCGATCTCGCGTCCAGACCAAGACATGCTTCGACTCCGCCGTCAGACGCACTGCCCGGACCTCAGACAGGTGCAGATGAGACACTGTCGCCAGCCGCCAACCGAACATAAGTCTCCGTGGCGGTTCGTCCGTCTGCTCACTACGTCGCACCGCCCCGACGTCAGCGGATGCCGCTATGCAGCCCTGAACTGTCAGATCTAGCCGTGAAGGAGTCTTGGGAAATGTCGCAGGCGGTGCTCTGGCTGTGCTCGTGCACACTTGCTCGGACCTGCGGCCGAAATATCTCAGATATATCTCGATTGCAAATGTCTTGTGTTATTTACTCAGTCGTACAAGGTGAAATCAGTTGAGTCAGCAGCCTCCCGGTCACGGCGCCACAATGAAGTGCTTGAAGGAATCTTGGCCTTCTTGATGATTTCGTGTGGCTGGTGATAGGTCATCTCGTGGTTTGAGGCGATGCTGGGCTCGGGTGGCCCGGTTGGTGGAAAGATACACCCATGACGCGCCCAATATAGTGATTGCATTGCCATGAATGAGGGTGCGTAGCGGTAAGAAATCACCCGAACTAGTAGCAATAACCATGGCGTAGTTGCTCCCACGACCATTCATTCTGTAATCTTCGTCTCATCAAACAGCAGAAGTAGTCAAGCCAAAAAGCAAGCGCATTGAGTTGTGGGAGGCTGCAGACTGGGGCCCTGCCTGCTCCCGTAACTCAATCTTAAGATGTAGGAGCTCTGTGGCCCAACACGATTCCAGGCGGGGTTTGTACGACGCTTCTGTTAGGACGGGAGACAGCCTGCTGCTATCGCTTGTTGGCATGAACGCTGCCGAGCTACTCTCATCTTCATCAATGTAGCTTAGATTGCCCATATGGACTGCAGTGGTTCATCTTTAAAGCAGCATCTGTGCTCGTCGATGGTACCAGTAGGATCGATCGAGTAATATATGTAGCCTAGAGAGCTGCCCGGGCTTCCTGTCTGGGTGTTTAGGCTCAGAGAAGGCAATGTGATGTACATCGTGGTGTACATTTGCAATGGATTGATGACCTCCAAAAAAAGCGATTTAAACAAAGGAGCCTAGAATAAGTAGTATGTCAGCCACCATCAAAATGTGACCTATGCACCGGTGTATCCATTTCGAACGGCAGAGGTTCTCGCGGGACGGGATGTCGCGCATGAGCCGTCACGCTCCCGACGCCTTACAATATTCTGCTGTAGCAAACACTTGGTATGTGTCATGCCGTCTTTTCACTGTCAAGTAGCCGACGTCGTGTCAGCCTTTGACCGCTCTGCCCCTTGGCGAGTCTGCAAATAGTCAGTCACAACACGGTTGTAAAGCAATGGACATAATCCTGTTTGATCCGACTCGCGGAAGTCAGGTCTGCATAAGTGCTGATGCGGTGGTAAGCAGACGTGATTTTTCGTTGTTCAAAACGGCAACTGATTTGGACAAACGGGGTTTGCTGAGGAGCTTCAATAATCTCTGAGGTTTTCCTTGTTTATCTATGTACAAGCCTACAGCCCACGAAGCGTTCAAATCCTCCACAGATAGACATACACCGGAGGCCGCGCATCCGCCTCCTCAAGATCACTTTATGACGAAGCATCCTTCGCTTTCTCTGGAATGAAGGGCTCGTTGCCTCGGATGATAGGATAATGTGCGTAGATCTGCTTCTTCCGTAGATGAACTGGTGTCTTGCCCTCGGGTGTATCAGGGATGACCTTCTCCAGTTTCTGTCTTTAGTTAGTATAACGGGCCTGGACTTGTAACAATAGCTCCGCCCTGGACTTCAAGAGTCCTGGAAGAGGCATTGCCTCCAGAACAGGGCTGTACCCACCAGATTCTCAAATGCGCACTTGTTCAGCTTCCACTCTGCAGGTCGACATTGCCATAGCTGGTGATTGTTGTCGTCCAGGCACTTCCAGTGCGCGCGGAATTGCTCCAGGCAGGACTTGTTGAGGTCGTCAATGCTATACATTCCAGCCCGTTAGCTTCCTGACGCCTTCAGAATCATATGTGCTCGTGATTCGAGACACTCGTAATCCACCAGGATCATGAGGCTCCAAGCCATAAGTATAGAATAATAGATCAAGGACACATACACGCTCCTCGCACATCTTGTGACTCTGCGGCCCTCCTTCAAGCACTCGAACTCGCCCCGGCCCGGGTTCTCGGTCTTGCACTGCATGAAGTCATCGTTGTAATCTTTGCATCGCGCGCCAATAAAGAAAGAAGCGGATAGAAGGGGTGCTGAGCTGGCACCTAGCTCCTGGACTTTCGGGATCGACTCGGGGAGAGGGGTGGTGTCGTAGAGCTGGTGCTGGTTGAAGCTGTCTGGAAATTAGCTCGGGTCTTCTGAGAGGCAATTGACACGGCGGGCAGCGAGGAACTGAAATAAGCCATAGCCGAAGCAAATATATCAGGGGAGCACATACACGGGCTTTCGCGAAGCCATTGTTGCGGTATTGGAGGGCCCGAGGTCTTCAATTGGGGGTGTGGATGAGGAAGCTTTGCGTCGGGAAATGCAGGCCTACTGGTGAGGTGAGGTCAATTGAATGCCGTTGATTGGGTGGTTGCTCAAGGTGAGTGGCCAATTAAACCGTGGCCAAGGTGGGCTTCGGTGAACGCGGCTGAAGCTCTGGCCTACCAACGATTTCTGTGCGCGTTGCCGTACGCGATCCAAGGTGGGAAAGTCTTCAATTCTACCAACCACAATCACATAACATTAACGACTCCACAGCTATCCGGCTCTGTGTGGCATACAGACGAATACTCAGCCTTTGGATGGAAGCGCCTATCCTTATTCGCTTCACGCCAAACAGCATGAACTGAAACTTCTTTGTTTTCCCTGCTGCCTCCGTTGGCCGCATTCCGATCCTCAAGCTTCTCCCCTCTACGAATCCACTTTGACCAGCTACCTCTTCAACTTCAACACTGCCCGCCAAGATGTTTGCATCACTCAGCAAGCCTGCCGGTCAGCCGGCTTTCGGCGCGAGCACAACGAACCCTTTTGGGCAGTCAACTACCAACCAACCTACACAGTCTCTCTTCGGCCAGTCAAGTGCGAATACCAACATGCAGCAACAGCAGCAGCAGCAGCCGGCGCCAGCACTGGGGCAATCACAGGCTAATACCTTGGGAAGCTCACTATGGCAGCCTGGCCAGCTCACGCCTCGTATGTTCTCCTCGTTTCGTCCTGGATCGGTTTTGGATGCTTCTTGTTAGCGGCATGGCCTTCTGTGTCTTGTCTGAAGAAGCTATCGTTAAACATCACAGTCGCTAACTCTCGTGCACTGCAGAACAAAAGTCCATCCCCGACCAGATGCAACTGATCATGAACAAGTGGGACCCAGCCCACCCCAACTGCTCCTTCAAACACTACTTCTACAACAAGGTAGAAGAGTCTCGCATCCCCTTCTACCAGCCCGGCCCGAACGAGGATCCCAAGGAGTGGGAGGAGGCGCTGCAGAACAAGCCCGCGCCGGGATACATGCCCGTGCTGGCGGCCGGGTTCGCGGCGATGGCCGAGCGGCTCAAGGTGCAGCGGCGGGCGGTCGGCGAGTTCAACGTGCGCCTGCACGAGATCAACAGCAGCCTCGACGCCATCCTCAGCCGGCACGACCTCGAGACGAGCGTGCGCGCCCTCAACGCCCGCCGCAAGCACGAGGTCCTCCGCAAGAGGGCCGTCGTGCTCGCCCGCAAGGTCCAGGTGCTGCGCAACCGCGGCTACTCGCTGTCCGGCGACGAGGATGACCTGCGGCTGAAGCTGGAGGGTTTGGAGAAGACGATGCAGGATCCGGCGCTGAATGCGCGCATGGAGGAGCTGTGGAGCAGACTGATTATGCTGCGGGATTATGCCTCGTCGCTGCAGACCGAGATCAACAAGCGGGGATTTGGCGAGGACGAAGGCTTAGGTGAGGAGGTCGAGGCGAAGGCGAAGAAGGTGAGTTGAATGTGTCCCCGAATTTCCTTCATGTTCTCTACTGACAAAACGGTCTCATCAGATTATCGAGGACTACGAGAAACAACTACAGCATCTGAAGAAGGAAGTAGAGCTGGTCAAGAAGGATTTTGATGAGTGGGAGAAGGAGCACAATATCCAATCCGCAAGATGATACGGCGTCGTGGGAGAATTATTGCAAAGGACTGCTGTTGTACCAAAGGATCGATTGAATCATCGTGTATGAACGAATAAAAAGGGGGGTTTAGACATTCGGCGTCACAGGGTGCATATCAGCTTCTTGCCTTGCTCTACCTAATGAAGGGAGTAGCTGCAGGTGATTCTCTAAGATCATGCGGCCGCATAATATATGGCATTAAGGCAAAAGAAACTCATGAAAGATCCGCTGATTGCTATGCATGTTCTACTAACATCATATACTGATGTCCAAAACACCTATCACGCCAGTATACACCTGCCATCGCCTTGCTAAATCGGAGGCTTGCACGCTACGTATAACACAATATTAAAACGGACGACTCGTAACACTCCATCAGGAAACAGCCTCCGGTAGCCTCCACGCGACGAGATCATCTCGGACCTCAAACTCGTCCGCCTCGTTTGCTCTCTTAAAGCCATCCCGTCCCCGTTCACTACCGATTGTGGTAGCCAAGCTCGCCAAGCTCTCACTACGGCTTCGGCCGCCGCTTCGTTCCTCCTTCAGCTCGGGCCGCTTATGGCGAGGACTTCCCTGCTTCCCTCCGGCAGTGACGGTGTGCGTGCTCCGGTTACTCGCCCCGCTGTGATTCCTCATGTGGTGCCGTATCCGCCTCGCATCGCTGGGCCGTAGTGTTGCACCCATATCGTAGTTGTCTAGCTCGTCGCCGCTCGCGCTCCCGCTGTCATCTCGCGGGAAGCCCACCCGTCGGCCGCCTTTGCTCGTATTCCTGTCGCTGCCGCCGGCCTTCCACCCATCCCCGCCAGAAAATACGTCCTCGACGCATGCGTCCGCCGGTAGCTCGCCGGGCTGTCTCGCCCAGCTGGCCGCTAGTGCGCGGCGATACATGTCTTGGACCTCGCTGGCGTCCCGGCTCTTGGTCAGAGCTGGCAGTTGGTGCGGAGGGTGGTCGGAGGAAGGGTCCTCGACTTGCTCGCCGGCTAGAATTCCCGCGATGCCGCCGAAGACCGGAGCCGTCTTGAGAGGTGGCGCCACGAAGTTACGCTCGCCGTCTAGTTGTATCATTAGGATGCTGATCTTGACGGTGCTGTTGACTTTGGACTCCTGCATCAGGTACCGCCTGACCACGCCATCCTCAACATCCTGTGGTGCGTCGGCGATCGATGGCGCCTTGTTGGTCGATGTAGGAGAAGTCCCGCTAGCATCGCCGCCAGCACTGTTGGTTGCGGCGAGCCCAAGGCCGACGGTGATGCCACTTGCCGAGCTGCGCTTGCGTGAATGTCCAAAAGTTTTGTCGACCATGCGTTCTCCTATGCTAGGGCGACCTGTCGATCCCGTTTCGCGCAGGATGGCTTCGCTCTCCTCGATGTACTCGCTTAGGTTGAGGGTGATCTTACCCAGCGAGATCTTCTCATCGCGAACTCCACCAGCGTTGAACTCCTGAAGGACCTCAAACTCTATGAGGCACTCGGCGAGGTTGTTGTTCTTGTCGATGCTAATGCGCACGGGCACCACCTTGCCATAGTTGTAATCGACCCGGTGATTTGCGATTGGCGCCTTGGGTGTGCGCCCGCGGTGCTCCGTATGTATTGAATGGGGAAGATGCCATTTGATCTGTGATACGCCCGAGACGAGCGGGACGTTATTCAGATCGTAGATCTAGCGGGGTCAGTGTACGACATCCAGATACCGTGGGAATGAAACATGAGAGGGTAGTTAGACTGGCTAGACTGCTCCTCTAGTTCGCATACCTTGAGATGAAGCTCAAACTTAGGCTGTGAGGAACAAGTTAGCGAGGATTGTCTCCGCGAGCAGGTCTTGTTGAACCGCATCCAGATGCTTTGCTGCATCGCAAACGAGGGGATCTGGAGATGTTGCTTACCTTGCGAGCCTTGTTGACTAATGAGGGAATATGCATATCAGCAAATTGTTCGTCGATGAACCACGGTTAAGAGGAAGGTTAAGCAAGATGATGAGTCCGCAACGCCCCGCCTGCTTGTGAGGCTACATCTAGATGGCATTCAAGGGCCCAAAGCAAGACATTCAAGGAATGTGACCAGCCACACCAGCTCTGGCTCCGCGCAGCTTGGTTGGATGGCAGATCATTAAGGGTCGATGGAGGCGGGTGACAGGTCGAGATGGAGATAAGATCAAGGACAGGACAAAACAGGGAAAAGGGAGGTAGAAGTAGATAATTAGTCTGGGCTTACTTAGAGATGCCATTCCCTGGTCTCATGTGATCCCTGACAAATGCACACGAGTGCCTTTTTGAGTTTCCTTGGTCTGGACTCTTGAGGATACGCCGCAATCCAGGAACGGCTAAGTTTGGGGCGCTTTGTTTCCTGCCGCCTCCGGGTGTTCCGGATGTCCGAAACCGAGATAATGGCGTTCGAGTCGAGTCTCGACAACTCCAATAACGGTCCCCGCAAGGGTGTACGAGAACACGGCCTATCTAGAGAAGGAAAAGGGGGAGGTCCAGGTTGTATCCGGCAGCGTGGGAATGCCTGCAAAACATGCTTTAGAGTGCTGCTGATGCGCCAAGACGTCATCCTCCTGTGCCGACATGCAGCCGACTGGACTCTGCACAAGAATGCGCCATGCTGGCCCTAGGGGGGGGATTGGCGGGATCTTGGCTTACCGTTATCCCATTCGGTCAGTTCTCTTCCGTCGCCATGTACGCGCAATCAACGCCCGTCTCGAGATGAATTGCTGCTGTTAATGAACCTGGTTTGCGAGATGCTTTTGTGTCTATGTGGCACAATTGCCAGAACCAGACCAGGTCAGATGGAGAGGCCTCTCGTTTGCGGCTGAGTGACACCCTGTAGAACTATTGCGTTAAGCGAACTACTGGGGAATTATAGTGAGGGGCCCACTGTGCTTGGCCCTGTGGGGTGAGCTTAGCTCACTCGTCTTATCGATAAAAGCAACAAAGCAATTTTTAAACTCAACGCGACTCTCTCGCAGCAACAGCTATTGTGCTCGCCAAAATGGGTCCGAAGGCCCCAAATCCTTCAGGTAAACCCCAAGAGAGTAACAAGAGGAAAGCACTGTCTCAGATGGCTGCTACTTCCAAAAACTCAGGCAGGGACGCCGGTGCTAGCGGCCGGAATAACCACAAGCGCGTCAGGATTCAAGACGCGAGGTCGATTCACTCTCAGCCTTCGGATGCAGCACTGAGAGATGGCGAGATGGACGTGTCATCTTTTCTCAATGCCAGAGAGTTTGAGATCAGGGCGCTGGAGGATGGAATGCGCAGGTCCAAGGCATTCAGCAACAGAAGAGCTTTTCAGGTGGTGCCGCGCTCGATGCGGAGGAGGACGGCTAGCCATAATGTTAAGAAGCTACCAAAGCATCTACGGCCGAGGGCAAGGCGGGAGCAGATTGATGACAATACTCCGGTAGTAGTGGCCCGGAAACGGAGGCCGAGGACAACCAGAGCGAGGATACGCGCCGAGACAGCGAAGAAGCTGGGCATATTAGCTGAGAAGAAGCGCAGGAAAAAGTTGAAAGAGGCGGCTGAGAAGAAAGGAGGAGATGCGTCCACTACATGTCAGCTCTCATCAAAGCAGATCATTGAGACGCGACCAGCAAGGCCGAAGATACGTCGGAATGTGTTGAATGAACCACCCAAACCTAAATCCAGGTTCAGAAAGCGCCAAATTGACAAGACATGGTTGCCAACCCACTTGTGGCATACGAAGAGAGCAAGAATGACAGAACCAAAAGAGCCACTGTGGAGGTTTGCCATGCCTCTGACACCTACAGAGAAGTGCTACCGGACTACACATCGGGCCACCGGGCAGCGAGGAGCTGTCATTTGGGATATGAGTTATATGAGCACGATTGGTGTATATGGAGCTGCCGCTGGGATTGAGCGGGTATTGAAGGCACTCGGCATGGTTCATGATAGCCTCTGGGATGACCGGGGCAAGAAATGGAGAAGCGGCGGCCGGAGCTGGACAGGCATCCTGAGCAAAGAGAAGAGCGGCTCACGTAGGGATGTTGGTCCCGCAACAATCATGTGGAATCCGGAGGCCGTTTCTGTCACTGAGCAGACCTCGCCACCAAAGCCTCACAAATACCAACGGCAGCTGTACATCAGAGTACACCCTTCTTGTTTCCTGGAGCTCTTCACTTTGCTCACCAAACTCGTGAAACGAGAAACACCACAACTCTATATAGAAGATCTACGATTTGAGATCGGTAGCATCGAGCTCGCAGGGCCAGGATCCACCGAAGCACTACTCGGTGTACTTCGACCCTATCACTCCAAAGAAGACTCAAGCGAAACGCACGCGACTTTCTTTGAGTCTCTCAGAGGTGTCAGCAACTCTTCTGCCGTACCCCAGCACACTGTTCTCGGGTTTTCAATCCAGGATCCACGACTGTGCTACCCTCCACGAACGGTGGAACAGCTCGACGCAGCCTCCTACGGCCCTAACACGACGCTGCTCAATAAGTTGTCCAAAGGGCCAGAGCAGGCTCAGCGGCCCTTCGAAATCTTTGATAGAAGCTCTCGCTTCAAAGCAACCTGTCTCCCGTCACAGAGATCACTGAATCGGCGCAAGGGGGCAAGGGCGCCAGGAGAAGCTCTCCAAGTCACGCTCGAGGATCCACCAATTCCGATCATGCTCCTCGCTTCCAACAAGCCAGCGCAAGGCAGTTGGACGCTCTTGGCACCCTGGAAGTGTATCCTCCCAATTTGGTACAGTCTTGTACACTACCCGCTATCGACGGGTGGGAACCCACGATTTGGCGGCCTCAACGAGTTGCGCCAGGTAGCTTTTGAGCACAACCTCCCTTGGTTCCCTGGGGATTTCCCAGGCACAGATGGTGGAGCTGCTTGGGAGCTCGAGCAACGTGAGAAAAGACAGCGTGAGTGGGATAGGCGGCCGAAGTCAAAGCGAATCGAGTGGACATCCGTGACCTTGGGCGCTGGGAGAAAAGGTGAAGTTGGTTCAGGCTTCGCTTGTGACTATGAACATATGTTTGGGCTCAAGCGGTCAGAGAAATGTGTTCTGAGTGACGCAAATGAGGAGAATCAAGACGCCGACCCAGACAAGATCATCAGAGGCAGCAAGAGCAACACGACGCCAGATGCCATGGATGTGGATGCTCCTGTAACGGAGTCAAAATCAGGTGACGAACCTGGGCAGACTGCTGGAAAAGATGATTCAGGTGACTTGTCAAACATCAAACAGATATCAAAAGCGGGCTTCAACTCGCTGGCCTCGCGCTCAAGTATTGACGCGGCTCCCCCCTATTCGCTCATCGCCGTCAGCCTCACACAACAGTCTCGGGGCGTCCCCGAAACATGTGCCCGCATCTACCGGCTTCCTGCGCCTACAGCGAAGGCCATTCGGCCTGCAGAGGCCGAAGTCTCCGCTACACAGCCGCCTACAACTCCCGACATTCTCCCTAACGACCTGAGAGAGCAGTGGCTCGCCAAACTCCCCACCAAAAAAAGCAGCAGCAACAACAATACCAAATTTGCCGCCTCGCAACACACCGCACACCGCATCCCCCCCGGCACAGACATGGAGACCCGCAAGCGGCTGATGGCGCGGTCGATCATCACGACGGAACTGCCGTTCCCCAGACCCCAGCCGAATCAGGGGGACGTGGGTGGACACCCGCTAGTGCCCAATGAGGAGGACCTCATCGGGTTCGTGACCACCGGTTCGTTCAACCTGAAGGAAGGCAAGGGCGTGGGCATTGGGTGCATATCGGCTCAGAAGGCCCTTGAGGCTCTACGGTCTGGTGGGGAGAGGGAGGGCAGGCTGTGCATTGTCAGGAACGTCGGTGAGGGGATTGGCTGGCTTGCAAGATGGGATCTTGTGTGAGAATTAGCTGTAGTCTTTTTCAATGATACCCATGATCAATCAGCATATGAGTCGTGCATTCTCCTGACTAGGTGCTGTGGAGAGTGTAGACTATAGTGGTTACAGACGCAGAAATGCGCACCCATCACGAGCCGTCCATAAACCTACGACTCGCTGTTGAACCAGGAGGAAGTCCTGGAGGAGCCGCGCCGGAGTTTGGCCCCCAACGAGTCTTAGGTTCGACGCCATCGTTCCTTTTTGGCGAGGTCCTCAGCTCCACCATCCAGCGCAGTTGGCGAGCTAGCACAGCGATCGAGGGCTGGAACAGAAGAAACGTGCAGCAGGCGGAGGCATCTAGGCGTGAGCTGAGGGTCTACACCAAGCTCCCGAGGCTACCGGAGGATCGATCTGTCGAGCTGGCCAATTGTGTCTTAGACATGGAAGGCGTTGGGGAGAGACGGATGGAAGCTCCCTTTAGAATTTCCATGAACAGAGCATCAGCATAGTACCAAGGTGAATCGGGCTGGCCTCCTCACAACACTCCTTGCCTCCGCTACGGTAGAAAAGCGTCTAATGCAGATGTTTTGATGATTGATTTCAGCGAATACTCTATACAGAGTCGATAGGGCATCCCCCACGTCGATTGGGGGAAGCCCCTGTTGCGATCTGCCAGTCCCCCCTGTAGGACTGAGGTTGCATCGATTGGGTGCTATTGTGATCGGCCCCGCTGTTCGCGGCCGTAATGGCGCCGGGTGTGTACACTGTCCACTATCCACCATCCAGCCCGGTCACCTCCAGCCAAGAAGCACCTTCCAGAGCAGGATAAGGCATTCGTTGCAGGTGATTCTTTTTTACACTACCTAATGCCGGTGGTCTAGATGATGATCGCTCAAGAGGAACCGGCATACTGACGGTTACCTGCGTTCGTCGTTAAGTCTATAGTTAACGTAGAGAGCGGGACCCCGCATTGCAGACGGATGCATTGATACCTTGATAGGATGTCATGTTACCTTACCTAATACCTAAGTATCGATAAGCCCTAAAGGTGCGAGTAGGTAGGTATATTAATAAACTCATACCTGGGTCGCAATTCCTTTTGATCCTTTACGGGTTATTTGGAAGGTGAAGAGGAGGATCGGGAAGGTACGACTGAGAGGAGACGATGCTGGGGTCATTCTATTCAGCTGCTCTCTACCTGGATATCTGCATAGATGCCTCAGCAACGGAGAAACAGTGCAGTAGGAGCGACCCGCAACATTGGAGCTCAGCTTGGATGAGAAGAGGCGTGCCTTCCTTCAACCTGAACCCCGCCCACTGCTACAGCGATTCAAGTATTGAACTCGGGTGGGTCGCGACTGACTTGTAATGTTCCATTGTGCGGCGCCTTCCGCCAGACCTCCTGCCACCTTTCTGTGCTATTTTCAAATGAATTGCTGTAGCGCATGTATTATGGCAGTCCAATTGTTACGACTCGCTTGCCTTGCTTCTTCTCTCTTTTCTTTACCCTGTGATGGCTTCGATTCGCTGGAAATGCAGTTTCCCCGCGCGCGATTGGGTCAAAATGACAAGACGCCTGGTGGTCCACGGGTGGCTTTTCTGGCCTTGATATCTGGTATTTGCCCCATCTACCGGAGGACTACCACTTGAACGGCTTGGCTCACTTATCGGATTTGTCGAGAGGTGCAGTGCAGCCTCCACTGACAGCTGCACCTCCTCCACCTACGTGCTTCTTACCCTTATGCCTTGAAGCATATGCCTGCACTTACATTGGATCCCGTGCCGGGGTAGTCAGATTGGACATGATCAACTGATACTGGTTCTGATACTGGTACGACATGATACGCCGTCCAGCTTCCAGCTCCCAGCTCCCAGCTTCCCATCCAGCAGCAGAGCGCGCCCGCCCGCTCCCATGCCTATCCGTCCTTAGCTCCCATTCGACTGTTCTGTTATTCCGCCGCGTGAATAACAGAATGAATGAATGAGCGAACGAGGCTTACCTCCATCTTACCTAAACTCACCTAACCTACCAGCCTATCCGATCCGTCCCACCTCCGGTGCTAGTCTACCCAGGAGTCTAGTAGTCTACCTACCTGAGCAGCAGTCTTACCGCCCACACCTGCACCTGGGCACTTACTCTCCCTGCCTTATCCACATTGTCTGGCTCCTCATGTTGTTGTCGTCCGATGCTCTTCTTCCTTCTCTCCTCTCACACCGTCTGCTCTTGGATGCTTTCGCCACCGCTACTCGGCCTTAAGACGACCGACTGATCACAGACGTCGCGCCCACCGTCAGGCCTGGGAGTCTAAGACACCACACTTAGACAAACCCCCACATGCACCCAATCTTCGAATGGTCGCGTCATATCCCAGCCAGTGAGAGCGCCACGACGATTTAACCGCATTGAATGATGCCGCTTCTCCGACTCGGTCTCGCCTGAGGTCACCACCTTTAGCCTCGCCTCGACTTCGCTCGACTTCGCGCGCGTCGTCGACCTCTTGAAGCGACGAGCCCTCGGCCTGCTCTGCTGCCGACATGGGCTCGCTTGCGCTCCAGTCGTCGCTGCCGCTCGACATGGCACCATCGCTCGACTTCCTAGCCGCCGAGTTGAGCGACGCCGACTACCTATCCGAAGTCCTGCGCTTGACCACAGAGCAGTCCGAGGCCAATGTCGACAATGAGCTGGCTGCGAAAGCTGCTGCGTTAGGTATCTCAATCGCCAGGCCCAGCAGCCCAGATCAGCCAAACGGTTCGACTGCCGAGTCGGAGCTCACCGTCACTAATAATGGCCATGTACGCTCCCTCTCTGCAGGTTCGCATGGTTCTTCGAGCACGGCAGTCACGTCGCACTCGTCCACACAGGCAGTCTCAAACGCCGACTCTACAGGTAATTCTGTATCAAGGGTGCGGTCCCGAAGTCTCAACTTCTCGCAGTACGATAAGTACATAGCGCAAGTCGATCCGAACCTCAACCAGCCGAAATTTGTCAGGATATCACCTTCTTACTCGGAACCGGCACCGAGTATTTTCAGCGTCAGCACCAGAAAGAGTTATGTCAGCATAAAAAACGGTCTCAAGACGAAGATCCGGTGGAAAAGGAAGTCAAGCTCGTCATCGGGAGCAACACAGTCAGTGGGCCGAGCAGACCAGTCAGTCTCTCGTTTAGTCGCTAATAGATTGTCCAGCTCCTGCATATGCTGCCGTGACGACTTCAACAAGAAACGCGACTTACAGACCCTGCCATGCGGCCACAGCTATTGCGTAGATTGCTTACATGTCATGGTCAGTCAGGCGATCAATGATGAGTCCAAAATGCCGCCGCGATGCTGCACTCAGCCCATACCTAGCGCTACAGTCAAGACCATCCTCACACGTGAGGAGCAACATGCGTTTTTGAAATCTGTTTTGCAGTTCAGCACGCCATGGGCATCGAGAATGTTTTGTCCTAACACTAGCTGCAACGAGTTTATTCCACCGCGAAATAAGATCGATCCAAAACACCCGTTCGATGTGGTTTGTCGAAAGTGCAAGACTCGAGTATGTATCATGTGCAAGAGGAATGCGCATGCTGTGGGTCAGGACTGCCCGGATGATTGGGAACTGGATGCCGTCTTGAAGATGGGAGAAAAATCAGGATGGAGAAGATGCTACAAGTGTCGAAATCTTGTCGAACTCACACAAGGATGCACTCACATGACGTGTCGATGTAAAGCGCAGTTTTGCTATATCTGCGGTGCAGTGTGGGATCCCGTAGTCGGCTGTCCCAACTTTTGCAATGGCGAAGAAGAGCTCGAGCGGCGAAGAGTAGAGGAAGCAGCCCGAGAAGCTGAACAGGAAGCTGAAAAGGCAGCATCAGAGGCAGCAGCCATCGCCGAGGAGCTCGACAGGATAGAGGCCACGGAGAGAACCCACGAGAGCGAGGAGTTCAAGGCCTTGCGGGAAGAACAAGAAGACGAGATGCAGAGATTCAGAGCTTTCGAAAGGAAAACGAAATGGCTCATGTGGGCACGGCATACCGAGAAAAAGCTACTCCTTGTCAATCGACATAACAATCAAGCCGAGAAGATGAAGGAGAGGCATACGAAAACCACTCAGCAACTCGAAGATCGGCAAATTGCAGCAGAAATGGAATTAAGGACGACTTTAGAGCAGAGCGAGAAGAGTGTCCGCATTCGTCTGAGGCACATGGAGGCCTATTGTGACGGTCTAGGCCGACATCCGGATGGGGACCGGCCAGCCAGAGTTGTTACAGAACGCGATCTTCGGGAGTTGGGCCAGCAGTACAACCTCCGAGACAACATGGAACGACTAAATCAGGCGAAGATCAACGTTATGAGAGATCGACAAGCCCAGGCCATGGAAGAGCTACTGGAGCGACAAGAAGACGAGCTCCAGAGGCTCGAGGCTAAGCGGGACGAGGATATTGAGAACCTTGCCACAGAATTTGCCAATGAGGAAGACGTGTTGTTGCGAGTCTTCAAAGATAGGAAGAACAAGCTCCAGAGGCGATGGCGCTTGGCCATTGACATTCTGCGAGTTGAATTGGAGAAAAAGAATGGAGTAAGATATGGAGAGATGGCAACCCCTGAGTGGCCGATTGACACGCCGGATCCCCAGGAGGAAAGCCTGGCCCCGGTAGAAGAATGACACACTAGATATGACGAAACGACACTTCACCATGACCAACCACGACTATACCTTTGATGGTTTGATGAAACTCGCCACATCACTTCCCATTTATTCTGCAACATATTAATGGTCACTACATATTTCCTTTGTGATCTGAGGGGACCAGGCTTTATTAGATACAGATACCATTCGTCTTTACGGGCAAAGCGGGAGTTTTCATGGCGGTCACAGGTTGGGGAGTTTAATATACGGACGATAGCCATGCTATATGAAGAATCAGCAACACGAGCTGGATGAGCTTTGAGGTGCTATACTTTGACGATCTATTCTTCTCAATGAAGAGGCATCTGAGAGATCTCTGGAGACGAAGAAGTTTGGAGCATGGTACGATACACAAATCATGGACATAGTCCGAATCAATGAGCACACACCTTATTTCACAATCTACGAGTGACCAGAAAGCCTATGCAATCTGATGTGTCTTGCTGCTGAGCTAGCTTTCTCCCATGATGTAGTCGTCCATTGCCCATTCCTGAACACAACCTTCACCATACTTCAGAGCCATCCTCCAACATAATGAAAGGCTATAATGGCAACTAAGCAAGTGATTTCGAACAGTCTCAGGAACCCGATTGTTGATGAGAGGTTTTAAAGCCAAGCCCGTGGCCAAGCTTTTGTTAGCTACATCGAAGCGAGGCGGCTTAATCCCCAGCGAATCCCTGCCATTCTATCGGCTCTTCAGGGGTTACCCCGGCAAGTTGGTGTCATCAGGAGAACAAGCGAGCCGGACATTTTATTGTGAGTTACAAATTCATTATTATCTCAGTATTGATAAACGTCTCTGCCTAGGCATGATCATTTACACTGCCAATACGCTTAAGCCAAACTTTTATACATAGTCTCTTCCAGACACACAAAAAAAAAAAAAAAAAAAGGAAGACCAACAAGGGCTCATTCCAAGACTAGGGGCGTAAGAGTCTCCTCTTTTATATCATCATGCCACCAGTCACCGTCAAGCTCTACCCTCCCCACGAGCTCATGGCAGCCTCTTCGCCTTCTGTGCCGAACTGCAAGAAGACTGTCGCTCGTACAATGACTTATTTCAACGACCTCATCTCCACATCGGAGCCCCAGCGGTCCGTTGCCAATACGTAACCTGCCTCTTACCCGGCAGAGGAACAAGCACCTCTTGTTTGCTGCAAAGCTAGTGCAAAGACGATCATGGAATCGCAACACTCTTTATCACGCAAAAGATCGAGAACAGTCTCGCTATCTGCCTCGGCTTTCCAAGTATATATTACCGAAAGCCATTTGTTAAACTTGTCCAGCTGGAGATGCGGCAGTTCGTGCTTCTTAAAGAGGGCATAGGCCAGCACGTGCCTGCCGGTAGGTGAGTCTTCAGGAGGTCTGTTCCACTCATACCTGCCGAGCAGTTGGCAAAGCGCACGGAGGTTATGCAGGTGTGCAGCAGAGAATCCGCCGTCCGAAAGCATCTCCGAGGCCAACGAGGGTGCAAGAAAGCTCCCCCCCAACCCAGCAGGCCAAACCAACATGGGTGTAGTCCACGGTCAGTCTGCGATGGTCGGCCGAGAACGGCATGAGAGGTACTTCTTGTGAGCCCGGCACGCAGTTCTGCATCAGGATCGACAGCGGCTGTGTCCAGGCTTCGTGGGAATGCTCCAGGCCTGGCACCCATGAGGGCCCGCCCGCACGAAGAGGTTCGCGGGCGCAAAAGATAAGCCTACATGCCCAATTATCACTCGTCGCAGAAGCTACAAAAAAGTCCTCGAAAAGCTGAGGTGCGGGCGTCGCCGTTTTGTGGTTGAGGATGGCCTGGACTTCTGAGTCCAACATGCCTCGCACACCGTGGGTCTTGTCTCGCGGATCTGTCGCTTTCCGCCATATTATTTCGTTGGTGGTTGTGTTCTCGTTGCTGAAACCCTCAAACCTTGGCCGATCCGCTCCAAAATATACCCGTAGGACGAACTGGCCGATCTTCATCAGGCCGGTATAGATGGCCAGCCCAGAGAAGGGTAGGATGAAGACGAGCCTAACTGCTGTTACTGCTTTGGCAGTGGCAACTCAAGACAGCAATGATCGTGCCGATTGCAACGGTCGACAGAATCACGCCGTCTGCGAATCCTAGCCTTTGAAGGAACCGGTCATAGTTATTCAGATGCTCGATCTGCTCTGAGAGCTCACGACGCTGGAGCACCGCCTGCCGATTGATCCATATATACGCCAGATCTATCCACCTTGACACGCAGTGGCCGACTTGGTACTTCTCCAGATAAGTATTCCATCGGTTTGACTTATTCATGCAGACCATACTGAGCACGAAACTGCGAAATGGCAGAGATCTTCGCTACCAACGATCGGTATGCTGTTAAGTGTGGACTTGTACCAATCCCTGACGGGATAGCCACTCTGCAAAAGTCAGGCGGAGGGATCTTGTTGATTAGCCCTAAAGGAGAAAGTACTGATAATGAAGTCGTATTAGCAGACATGAGGCGACGTGGAGTAGATAAGACAGTCTGGAGTTTCACTCAGAGAATATTCGATGATTGCAGAACTAGAACAAGTGGCACTAAGGATGAGCTGTGAAGACAACGTCTATTAGAGATCTAACTTGTAGCAGCAGGACAAAATACTGATGGTGACAATGACAGATGCCTTCTCAAGTCGTCTAAATCAGACGCAGAGACTTCGTCCCGCACCACAGAACGGGGTCGGTACTGAGCGCAATTTCTTGCAATGTCCAAATGCGATCTATCCACTCACGGGAAACGATGTCCACGACACCACCACGGGCTTCAAAGGGGAGATGGGGTGCTGGTTGAAGCCAGTGGAGACCAAAGTGGCCAAGGGCCCTGCTCTACAGAGAGTCAACGCCCCAATTTTGCTGCATGTGACTCCAAGCACACTCTCCGGATCAGGCCTGAGAGCCTGTTGATATCCAGCATAACGGAACAAAAGCTCGATGGCCTGGTCAGTTGCAGCAGTACCAGCTCCAAGTCAGATATGCACTGTTTTGGCGAGCGAGTAGATGTCTCCCATGAGAGCTATCTGGCTGAGCTTTTCCGCCGAGTCGTCTTGGTTGACACAGATCGAGTCAAGAACTTCGGAGAGCAATTTGTTTCAGTATTGTGTATATATATATATATATATATATATATATATAAATGAATTATAAAGCCATGGACTTTGCTTTTTGCTTGTGTATTGGATGTGGTAACTAGTACGACTAGGTTTTCATTCGTATCCGAATCCGCCGCTTTCATGTCCATCATGTGGATTCGAAAGCTTGTTTCGTCTGTCCATATGATACAGTCGTACTTCTGGCATATACTGTCCGCACGGCGTTAGAGGTTGATGTGTTCGCTTCTAAGGTGATAGCTAGAAATGATGGAGTGAAACGAGCATTTATATTTTCTTAACTCCTGTAATCTCAAGTCATTTTGCATGACGCGATTTGCTATCACAATTGAATCATCGTGGAAGCAAGCGTGATGCTTGACGTTGACTCCCAACTTCTCTCGTGACGCTTCAGGGACATTCCTACATTAGGCCGCATACCGTATGTTCAACCTACATATATTGCTAAGTAATGAAACGTGGTTTAGTAGAGACAATCAAGGAGTTTCCTCAGTATAGTGAGAGTGGCGAAACTAGCTGGAGCAGAATAGAGGGTTTGGGTTCTAAGAGGCAAGCATGGGAGAAAGTCATCACACTGTCAAGTGAGATTTGTTACGTTTGATTGAGCATACCAAAGAAAATCAAGCGGCACAGGCAATCATGCAAGCCAATGACAGAGTTCCCAAGCGTTTAATTCTATTATCTTCAAAGTAGTATGACACATGACGCAGTCTATGCAGGACTCAAAGTACCTCTAACGCCGCCCTTCGCGCCGACCTCCCTCGTGGTGACAGTCAGGCTCAGGTCCGCCATGACGTTTATCGTAACCTCGACCTTGCCGCCCTTCTTGACGCCCTTGATGGCCGCCTCGGCGAGCGTCTCGCCAATCTTCCAGACCTTCTCGCGCTTCTCCTCCTCTTCCTCCTCGTCGTCGGAGAAGTCGCTGTCGTCCTCGTCCTCGTCGTCCTCAACGGTCGCCTGCTTCTTGCCGTTGGCCTCGGGCTTGGGCTCCGGCTTGGTGACCTTGATGTGTGTGCCACCCTCGACCACGCGAACGAGCACGTCGCCGCCCTCCTTGGGCGCGGCGACGTGGACCGTTCTCCTAGCGGGGACGGCGGTCTCGGGGGCAATGATAGGCGTGAATGTCTCGGAGCCATCCTCGGCGATGGAAACAACGCCGATGGCGTTTGTGATGTGCTTGACGGTGGTAACAGCGGCATGTGTAGACTGGTCGATATCCTCGGCCTCGTACTCCTGGATCAAGCTGGCTTGTAGAGCAGCGCCGCGTGCCTGCAGCTCAGAGGGGTTGATCGCAGTCGGGCTGGTGCTGGGGGCCAGGATGGTGGTCGACTCGGGGAAGATGAAGCGGAAGTTGGCCGCAATGCGGGGAGTGTGCGCAGTGCCACCAGACAGGATGACCTCGTCGACATCGAGAACGTCCAAGCCGGCCTTCTTCACCACGGACTCAACGAGCCTGTTGAAGCCCTCAAAGACGGTGCGTCCAATAGTCTCGTACCGCAGCCTGTTGATGGTGCTGGCAAAGTCGAAACCCTCAGCCAGAGACTCGACGCTGAAGCTGGCGTTGGTTCCGATACTCAGGGCCTTCTTGGTGGCCTCAGACTCAAGCTTGAGCTTGGCCAGCGACCGAGCATTCTCGCGGGGGTCGAGATCCTTGTGCTTCTTCATGAACTCCTTGGCAAAGTGGTCCATCAGAATCTTGTCCAGAGCATAACCAGCAAATTCGTAGTCGTGAGCGGTAGCCAGGGTAGTGTACATTCCTCCTCGAGAGGCAATGACGGTGACATCTGACCGCGTGCCGCCCAGATCAGCCACCACAACGATCTTGTCCTGGATCTTGGCCTCCGGGCGGGCATCATATGCGAGCAGGGCGGCGGTGGGTTCTGAGATGAGCTGCAGGACTTCGATGCCCGCATCATTGGTGGCCTTGATCAACGCCTCACGCTGCTTGTCTGAGAAGTTGGTGGGGACGGTGATGACGGCAGAGGTGACCTTCTTGCCCAGGTAGTCGGACGCGGAACCCACTAGCCTGCGCAGATACCGAGTAGCGACCTCCGCGATGGCGAGCTCTGAGGGAGCCTCCTCCTCGCCCTCCTTGTCCTTGACGGTGAAGGTGATGGTGTCGTTGGCGTCTTTGGGGTGCGCCGAGGCGTGGTTGTGGCTGGGGTCGATCGACTTGAACCTAACAGATGCTGTCAGTACATTGACCCTCCGCGCAAATGATCAGAGCAACGCACTCTCTGCCCAAGAAATCTCGGAAGTAGGCGACGGTGTTATTGGGATTCCGGACCAGGAAGGCCTTGGCCTGGGCGCCGTAGTATTCATCGCCATCAACGTAGGACAGGATCGTAGGTATTTGTCGGTCTATTGGTCAAGTGGTTAGCAGTCAATCCATTTAACCAAACACAGCACACAATAGTCTCACCTCCGTCCTCGTTGGCAATAACCTCTGCCTTGTCGTCGACCGTGAAGGCAATGGAGCTGTTGGAGTTGCCAAAGGTGATGCCGATTACCGTGCGGTCGCCTGGCGCCGGGCCAGGCTTGGAGCCCCCGTTCTCAGTCATCGGTGCAACTTTCGTGACACAACCAGATGCAGTGTAATGCGGTCTTCAAATTGAATCGCTAATCCGCAGGAAAGAGGACTGAAGAGCAAGGCGAGCGGTGCTGTCCGTACACTCTGCTGAGGGCGGTGTTGGTGTTGGTGGTGGTGGTGGTAGTGGGGGTTAGAACTTGCGGGCAGCCTCCAAAAAATACAGCAGCCAAAAAATTCAAAAAATTTCACCGTCTCGATGTTAGCGGATCTCGCCCGGGCGGCCACTGTGCAGGCCCAGAGACCAACCTTGAACCCCTGTCAGCCCCGATAACGATAAGCCTGGCTAGCGTCGAAGTCGAACCCCACCATTGATTTTACTTGCTACCGTAAGTGAGAGACTCCAAATTTATCCTCCATGACTTGGAAGGCTGAAGTGTCGTCGCCAACTGAAGCACACAACGAGAAGCAGTTGACGAGGCCCAGCACAATGGCGACTACAGATACTTTATCAAGCTTCGTGCTACCTGGAGAGGCACTCGACCCCTCCCAGATTCCCACACACAAGAAGAAGGCCCTACAGATCGGCCCCGGCCTGAGACACATACCGCCGAGCACCATAGTTCCCACCGTAGCAGGCCAGCTCGTCGCAGATCCGAAGAAGAATTCGCTATGGGTTGAGTACAACGGAGGCAGAGTAAGTTCCTCCCCAGCCAAATAGCAATTGGCCGTTCTCCCACCCAGCCCATTCCGCGCAAGACCACCAAGGCTGACCAGCGATCCCCGTGGCACAGTACATCCCCGCGACAGGCGACCTCGTCATCGGGCAGGTGCACCACGGCGCCGCCGACTTCTACTACGTCTCGCTGTCGCCGCACACGCCCAACGCGCTGCTCCCCACGCTCGCCTTCGAGGGCGCCACCAAGAAGACGCGGCCCCTCCTCAGCGCCGGCGCCCTCGTCTACGCCCGCGTCGCCCTCGCCAACAAGCACATGGACCCGGAGCTCGAGTGCGCGCACCCGGCGACCGGCAAGGCCGACGGCCTCGGGCCCCTGGCGGGCGGGATGGCGTACACGGTGTCGCTGGGCTTTGCGCGGCGGCTGCTGATGGCCGGCGCGGGCGGGGCTGTCGTCGTGCTGGAGGAGCTGGGCGGGCTGGGGCTCAGCTTCGAGACGGCGGTGGGGAGGAACGGGCGCGTGTGGGTGGGCAGCGAGAGCGTGCGGACGGTCATGGCGGTGGGCAGGGCGCTGCGGGAGACGGACGAGGGGAACCTCGACGAGGAGAGGCAGCGGAAGCTGGCCAGGAAGCTGGCCCGGGAGATGAGCTGAGGCGGAGGAAGCATGACGTGACGGACGACATGACGATCTCTCCGCCGGCGGTGCCCATTGGGCCAGACAGTACGGCGTGGTTGGGCTGCGCAAGACTGTGGCCAACCTCTCCCACAACCGCGATTTCGTTGAATCGGGTAAATGTGGGTTTGCTTGTCTGATACTCATGAGATCTATCGAGCCACTTAGTACAGTGCTATCCTCTTCAACAGCATTGAAGAAAGAAGCGAGCACAAGATGGAAGGAACATGGACATGGCAATTGCTACAGTGGGAAAGGTTATATCAACCACTCAAACCCTTGGAGATCAGGGATACAGCACAATGTGTTTGTTCATAGCATTCAGTAGAGGCACCCTTGATGTCCACGGTAGTAAAGTTCACCATTCAAGGAGGATGAGTTTAAGATTCACTTCACTTTGCCAGTTCAAGTGCCAGCTCAGTAAACTTCCTATCGGCCATGGACTATTATTGCAAATGTCACATCACGCGCATGTAGAAAGTGTCATCAGGCAAAGACCATTGCATTGCATTGTACATGTTCAGCCTCGGGCTCTTACGCCCAATAGTCTCCATCCGCCCCTATAGACCCAAAATTGTGATATATCCTTTTTCATCAATTGATACACCAGGGGGAGACGCTAGCAGAGCGAGTGACTGTCTGGCCCCTTTCCCATATCTGCGCCGGTCCCATGCAAAAATTCCCGAGTTGACCGCCAACCCAAAAGAGTATATCAGATCCCGATCAAATTAAAACGCTGTAGTCAAAGATTGGTGTCAATCGTGTGTATAATATGCCCCCTCCGGTCTTCCGTCCGGCGGGCGGAGAAGCTAGACCATGTTCGCTGCCCTGGAAAGGCCTTTGAGCTCTGACAAGGCCACACTTCCCGCCTGCCTGGCACTGTATCGAACTATCTTCCCGAACGTCGAAAACGCAAGTGGACATGTCTGGCCACGTGTCCCCCTGTTTAGCGCTGGTGATAGACTTCCGCCATGGTCGTGCATATCATGAAGCAGTAATAGTATCCATCTGAACAATAACCAAGTCGGCAGTGCCTTCAAAGCCAGAATTGATTCAGCTAAGGCCTGTAATGTCGACTTTTGCTCGATGTGTTGCTGGTATCGTATTGCCTATCTCCCTGTCCTGTCCTTCAGCTAGTGTCATATGCCTGTCATCGGCTGGTCCACCACCTCCTCCGGATCGTGTTCTGGATTTAGCTGATGCTTATTCGCCATATGCCTCCTCCAGTTGTCCTTCCGAGGGAACGACTTGCCGCCTTGTCTGGAATAGGCACAGCCGGCAACTGTGCAGTGGTACTTCTTCGTCTTGAGATGCTTATCATTGATGTGGCGATCCAGATGAGTCTTTGTTCCAAAACGCTTGTCACACTGGGGACACTCGTGTGGCCGCTCATGGTATCGCTTGTGATGGCTAGAAGACAGTCATTTAGCAGAGCCCGGAACCCAATGGACTCGAGAACTTACTTGAGCTTGTGAATCTGGTCGAAAACCCGACCACACTCCTCGCAGGGGAAGGATCTAGGTGAGCTGCCTCCTGGAGTGGATCCTGGTCCAGAAGAGTAGTCTGGAAGAAGATTAGACACTTTCAAAGAAGAAAGGGGGAAACGACCGCCTACCGAGCATAGTATTTGGGGTTGCAGGGTTATCGGACGTTCGGGGAGACGGTGTGTTAGCGTAGTTCGAGTCCGGCTCTGTCAGCCGGGTGTCAGGGGTATTTTCGTTCGAAGGGCCGGATGAGTATCCCTCTGGTGGTGGCGTTGAATAGTCCGAGATGTCGTGCATCTGTTCTTCTCTCGGGCCACTGCTCTGCCCGCCTGCCAAGTTGATCTCTGTAGGTTGTCTTACAACAGCAGCGAATTCAGGAATCTGGGGTGGTGGCGGCGAGTTCTCGAGTCTCTCCAATTCTGCATTTACCCATACGTCTTGCTCTGCGGGATTGGATGGCCTCATTATATCCATTGGATTGACGGTGCCCGGAGCGGGATGAAGCGGGCTGGGAGGAGCTCGAAGTCTTGCCATTGCTGGGGAGGTAAAGCGCGACCGAGCTTGTGATCGTTCCTCACTTGATCGGTCCTCATCGCTTGAATCCTCCTCCTTGATGGCAGACGAGGGAGTCAGTGGTGCCGGTGCTGGCGGTGGAGCAAAGGGGCTGCCCAGCTGCTCAGGACTTTGACTCTGATGCGGATGAGCCATAGGCATGAAAGCGCCAGCCATCGCAGGTCCGGGCAAAGACATGAGCATGACGCCGTGGCCTGCGCCAGGATATGTGGCAGCGGCAGGAGACGTTCCTTCTTCCGGCGGAGACATTGGTGCTCCAGAATAATAAGACGCAGCTTCTCCAGTCCCCGGGGGCGGCTCATCGATCATAGGGAATGCGGGTGGTGCGGTTGATGCCGGGGCCAATTCATCCATGTCCATCGTCGGTGACCTCACGGGGGTACGGTATGAATCACTGCCACTCGATCTCGTACTGCCTCGACGAAAGGCCATGGCCAGATGGTGCATGGCTCGAGCTATCGCGGGCGAATGTGGTGTCTTCGAGCTCGCCGTCGCCGATCTGCTTAGTGTGTGATCCGCAGCCATGCTGCCGAGAGTCGACCGGCGTAGATCAGCCCGGCCTTCGGGGGTTTCTGACCATGGAATTGGTGCTGACCCGGGTTGCTGGCCGGGAGAGGTAGGCGAATGCACGGATACAGGAGAGACTGGAGCGGCGGCATGTTGGGGCGAGTGTGTAGGGCTCGGATGGGTGTGTTCGACGGCGTAGTCGGTGCCATTCGCATATAGAGTTCCATTCGTCTCATAGTCCTTGACTGGTTGGGATTGAGAGTCTAGAGAGCCGGTGCCAGGAGCAGAGTGATCTCTGGATAGACCAGCATCTCGGGGCGATGGCAGCGTGCCAGCCGAGGAGGTCTGGGGCGCCATGCCCATCTCGGCGGCGGCAGCCTGAGCAGCCTGCTCATTGCGGAAGCGTGCCCGACGTCGGGCCTTGAGGATAAAGGGTAGGAAGCATAGGAGGATGAGGGCGGCACCGACGACACATCCGACGGTGGCGCCGGCGATGGCTCCGCCCGACAGTGACCTCTTCATGACGGGCCTGTGGCCGGAGCGCGGGGCGAGAGACAGCATGCGCGGCGGGTTCTCGAGGTGGTTTGCAGTTGATTGCAGGAGGGTCGAGGGATCTCTGGCAGCGGTATCCAGATGATGATGTGAGGACGCCAAGACCGAAGGGTCGTTGCGTCTTGTTTCTGGGCCTGATTGGGCAGACTCGTGCTGGAGCGAGGCTGAGCGACGCGCCATCCTCATGCCGAGCTTCTCCATTGCCCTACGCTACACACGAGAAGCGAGGAGAGAGAGAGAGAGAGACACTGCACACTGCGGGACACTTCAGCAGACGACGCAAAACCGTCGCAGCCAGGAGGCTGCTGAATGGCTCTCTCTACAAGGCCAAGGGGCCTGCCTCAGCAAACAGTATTGAGTGTGGACGATGTATCACGAGAGGCGCGGCTCGTCATCATGGCGGACAGCGGCGATGAGTAAGTCAGTCATTCAGGGTAAAAGGTGAGCAAAAGCAAAGGTAGAGCAGGAGGCAAGGGAAAAATGGAGGCGGTCGGTGTGGTGAGATTCGGATCTCTCTTGGGCTGCTTTTGATTGAAACGGTTCAGCCTCACAGGACTCAGTCTAGCGGCCGCTGCGCCTGTAAATCCTGACCTGACGAGGGCGAAAGTGTTTCTGGCCCCGTGTAAGAGCGCCTGCAGTGTGTTGTGCCCTGCTGCTGCAGCGCTCTGCGCGTATGTGCGTGTGTGCGTGTGTGTGACCGAGTGTGTGAGAGGAGGGGTCGCTAGAGCATTCGGACTCCAACTTGCTCCCAGTGTAAGTCTTGCACTACTGCGATAGAGTACAGGTAAAGCAATAACTACTGCGTCAGTTGTTAACGTTAGTGGAGGATTCCCTGCTTTCTCGTACTCGCAGCCCCCAACCACTCGTGGGTTGCCTCCGTCCACCCTCTTTTTCTCTTCCCTGGTCTGTGTCTGTGCCGCTCTGACCAGCCTTCGGGGCAAGTCTATCTGGGATCTGGCAGGGATGTTGGCCTGAGGTGTCGAGTTGTTCCAATTGTTAGACCTCTCTTCCACTTCGTTTGCCAGAGTTTAGGCGGTACCTCAGCAGCACACTTCAGAAACCCACTTGAGATGGCACTTGGCGGAGGCTGTGCATCAACGCGAAATCGAGACCTTTGTGCGCGCCCATTCCGTGTCTACGAGTCAAGTACTCGACTACCAAGCGCAAACTATGTCACAGCTTTTCCCCTCTTCTCCCTCTACATCTCCTTCTCCTTCTCCTTCCAACGGTGTGATCCTCGAAACGGAAACGAGGAAAGCCAATTGGGGGGCTACACTCGAAACAACCCAATGGGAAACTCCAATTCCTTTGTCGCCACTCCAGCGGTCGGTTGCCAATTGATACTTGGACTCCAGCGGTCGACAGTTGCGGGCTGCAGAACGGCCGCATGTGTTTTGTAACTTGCAACGGCTGCGTGAGAAACACGGCGGGAGCCGCAAACGCTTGTGGCTAGACTTCGCTCGGCCCAAGTGTCGCAGCTTTTGTCCCGTTGGTTCCACGGTCAAGGACCAAGTCGACCTTCGCCGCAGCAGGCTTGTACGGCTCCTATTGCATTACACTGGTGTGATCTCCCGCAAGTCCTGAGCGATTCGTCGCGGTTATTGTAATTCATGAACAGTGGTGTCGTCACATGGAAAAGTTCCAGGCTTTCCCATAGCATTGCGGTAAGCTAAAATAGCGTGAGATGTGGGACTGCTCTTAATATGTATCCCCGTTTCTTCATGACTTAGACGACTCTTCCCCTCAATCTATCCTAGGGAAATCACTTGAGGTATTTCTGGTGTATGAGGGGATTTCCTGTAGGCTACCGAGGGATTGTTGATGGTCTTTCACGTAATCGTTCCGAGAAAATGTGCCGGCTGGTGTATTAACTCCTTCAACCCGCAGAGCCAATGCATCTCTGTGTCATGATATTTGATATCAGTACCCAGGGCCCAGTAATTCATCTGGGGCATATGAACACTTTGACCTCCTCGATTAATGGAATTTCTCACGTCCTGAGACCCTGCCATGCTTTCGGTTGTCATGTCACTCAATGTTAAGGTGTATGACTGAGATGGCTGGAGATTGATGCAGTGTGGTATTCGGGAAATGACTGTAGATATAAGGTCTAGACATGATCTTCCCATAGAGCAATGTTCCTCGAACGCCTATACTGACAGACACATCACGGCTCTCGTGTTTCTCCTCTATTTGGCCGATGTTCCATGCGCAAATGCAACCAAACCGCTCTCCAACGCTCTACCACAATCCCAAGCGCGATCACCCTCGCCCCCATATCGATAGCATCTTCAAGAAACACCGCCAATCTGCAGCAGCCGCTGGCCCGCCCGCACGTTCGCCAGCTGGTACGCCTTCGACTCGGGCGGGAACGTGCCGTTGGCCGCCCACAGGTCGATCAGCGGCTGCATGGGCTCGAGCTCGTGCGGGCGCAGCAGGTCCAGCGCCGTGGCCGTGAGGAGGAAGTGACTGAAGCAGCTGTTGAGCTGCTTCTCCAGGTTCAGGTGGTAGAAGGGCTCGACAAAGTGCGAGTGGTACAGGTGCGCGTACACGCGGAACATCTGCAGGAACACCGTCTGGCAGATGCTCATGAACTCGCGCGGGAAGCCGCTGCGCCGCCCGACCCAGTCCTCCGACCCGGGCCCGCCCGCGGCGCCCGTGAGCTGCGACAGCGGCGGCGCGGCGTTGCCGGTGTTGGCGCTCGGCGCGAAGGACACGCCTGCCGGGTCGGTGGGGAAGATCTTGTTGTCGTCGATCTTGCCTGAGATCCAGCGCTGCATGAGCGTGATGTACTCGTAGGCGGGCAGCTCGATGGGCTCGTACCGGCTGTTCAGCCAGGTATACGAGTGGTTTCTGTTACACGTCAGAACTAGGGTGATGTGCCATGTATGATCAAGAACACTCACGCTCCGGCCGACATCCTCGGACAGGCTGAGGAGTTGCAAATCGGTATGCCGTTCTCCTCCTTCTCGTAGATTACACGGACAAAATGCCACAGGTTGCGGTAATGTTCAACCACTTGATGGGCGATCCACTCCCCCTGCTCAACCGTCTTCGGCCTTGCGCTTAGGGTCATGAAGTTACCCTTCACGATATGCCTAGCATATGCCGGGTTGAGCCATAATGGAAGCGGCCGGGGCAGGTGATATGAGCTTAGAACATCGTCGCTGGACGACATGCTGCCGATCGACTGTGCCTGTGACGACGAGCGAGGCAAGGGCGTATGAGCTGTAGTCGACTGGGTAACTAACGGCCAATTGCTAGACGGGAGGTTCGATCCTTCTTCCACGCTTGTCGGCGCCGGACTTCTTCCAGTAGTTCCCCCTGGACCTTTGACCTTTGAGTTGCTGCGTCGTCATATTAGCATCAGCTCCTCAACCACGGTTTGAAGTGCCAGGCTAGCAACAAGCGTAAATGAGAACTCAATCATAAACATGTAGTTAAAATACAAAACTTGAGGTAGATGTATTTGGCCAGTTGCCATGATGATACTTCAAAGGTGTAGGGTTTCGGCTCATCTCCGCCCGGATTCTGCACTAGAGACACGGGATGATAGGATGGCTACTTAGGTAGACTCAAGTCATCCCATCTTTCTGGCCCGACATGAGAGACGTCGCAATGGAGATGAAGCCCAAGCCGACGACTATTGGCCTAGCTAGGGACAGCAGTAGTGTCACTGACACACAGACCGCCTTGTGAAGACCGACAAAAGGAAACAGACACACAAGGCTGCGGGGCAACTCACAATCCAGAGAACAGGTTTGACATAATTGAAGAAGGAAGCAAGAAGCAGAAAACACGCGGCAGAGCAGCAGAGAAAGACGGACGCAAATAGACTGCTGACAGGGGGTCTGGGCAGGCGGGCTGCAGCAGTTCGATGCAACAAACTCGGGAAACGAAACGTGGGATGACAAGGTCGCCCGAACGGTATCTCGAGCTGTCTCACCACTGGCATGAGAGGCAAAGGAGAACGAACCCCCCGCTACGGTCTCGTTTCAAGACATCTGAAGCACACCAACCCTGCTGAGCCCTGGAAGTGCCTTTCCTTGCTTTGCCTGCCCGCTCCCCCCCAAACGCGGGGTCAGCCGCTACCCTTGACGACTTGACCGCCTTTGGAGAAGCCCGATAGCGATATGCATGCAATATCTCCGGTGCCGGGTACTCTTCTACCAATTCACAAATTTGGCTGTAGAACTGCAATTGATACCAGTACTCGAGATATGTCCCTTCACGAGGTATTGAGGTAGTAGGGAGCCGTAAAGAACATAGCGTTCGAATTAGTTATTTGAGGACTGGACTCTAGACAGCTCTGGAAAGAGCTCTAAAGGTACTCCAGAAAGCAAAAACCATATGTGTGACGATTTGGTACTTGAACACTAAGGCCGTTATCGAATTCGAGCCGCTACAATATATCAACATGAATGAAGCTCGATCAGCCTCGACGCTGCTTGAGCTAATCGACGTCGTCGACAAGTAGGTCTTTTGCTTCGCTTAGTCTTCAATTCGTATCTTACAAACCATCCTCAGTGTTCCCTACGACTTTGATTACACAGCCCTCTACAAGCTCCTTCTCCCAAACGACGCCAGGACTCACGGATTTCTCCTCCCCGAGACCGTAGCTCAACTGCCATGGACGTCCGACTTCCTCATAGACCATGACGCCCGCACAGTCCAAGTCCTCGATGCCTCCTCGGGGACGGACACCTCCGGAGCTGTCAATGCCGCGTTCCAGGCCGTCATCGACGCCGTCATCGACCGCGGCCTCTTCTACACGATGCTGCACGGCGACCACAGCGAGCCCTACCGCATCATCGGCGCCAACTTCTTCGCCGCCCTGGAGCGCTTCCCCGCGCCGCTGTTCGGCGTCGGCAGCCGCGGCGCGCACATGACGGCGTTCGTGCGCGACCACGGGGCCGGCGAGATGAAGATCTGGATCGCCCGCCGCGGGAAGCACCTCTTCACGTACCCGAACATGCTGGACACGACCGTCGCCGGCGGCGTCAAGGCGACGGACGGGCCGCGCGAGTGCATCGTGGCCGAGGCGGACGAGGAGGCCTCGCTGCCGGCGGAGTACGTGCGGGCGCACGCGCGGGCGGCAGGCGCGGTGACGTATGTGACGCGCAGCAGGCGGTCTGGGCTGATCAGCCCGACGGTGCTGTACGTGTATGACCTCGAGCTGCCGGAGGATATGCGGCCGACGCCGAAGGACGGCGAGGTCGCGGAGTTCTTGCTCTGGGACGTCGAGCAGACCAGGGCAGCGATGCTGAGGGGCGAGTTCAAGCCGAATTGCAACCTTGTCATGATCGACTTCTTTATTCGCCATGGGATCATCACCGATGCGAACGACCCGGACTTTTTGGACCTGTGCACGAGGTTGAGGAGGCACTTGCCTATACCCACGGCTCCGGAGAGGTAGCTGTATTCAGTCAAGTTAATGTTAATGAAAATCAAACTAAAGAAAGCCACATGGATCAGACAATGTCACGAGGGTCCGGGCAAGGTAGAAGGTCAAATTGCTTGGTCAAATGCGCATTGTAGGTATCATCGTTTTGAGTGTATCGTACAAAGTCGTGGTATATCGCTGACCGAAGATATCAGCCGTGAGGTCTAACGGCCCTCGAATACATAAATCAGGGATTAGATATGTCCCTGTCATCCATTACTAGCCCAGTTCCGGCTCCGATAGTCTCCATGACTCTATGCAAGAGGAACCGGCTCGGGTGGGTTCGTCCCCGTTGCCGGTCGCACGCCGGGCTGAGGAGGCAGGAACATGGGCAGGTAGGTGACGACAAGAGCCATTAGAGACATGCCAACGGAGAAATAGCCGGGTGTGCTGGAGGTCTTTCTCGTCTCCTCGCTCTCGCCGAGCCAGCTCTGGACACTGAAGACAACCGCAGCCCTAGAACGTTGTCAGTGGACCGGGACGACCATCATATACCAAACAAGAGTCTCTGCATACCATCCAATGAACTTGTTTCGCATGAAGATTGCTGCCATGGGCAAGGTCGATGACAGAGTGGACGATAGCTCGGGGCTGTCACTCTTGGCCACCGGCTCCTGGTAGGGGATGACTGTGGGAGATGTCAGCATTGGAGGAGCTATGGTATGGAGCTCAACTGAGTGACTTACCCAGGTCGGGCCGTCGCATATCCTTCTTGAACGACATCCTGTATATAGAGCTGCCTGGCGAGATGGAATTGATGCCTGCAGACCAGATGAAGCTGGTCGACAGAGCTGTCAATGGTGAGGCGTTATCGCGGAAGCTCCTAGCGAAAGCGGTGTATAGTGGCAATTGGGTAATGAAGTGGATCCGTCTGGTGCTCTCGTGATGCAGCTCGTGACGCTGTATTACTTGAGGTAAGGTACGGGACCGGGAGGAGGAGGAATATTGAATGATTGGATCTCGGCGCAATCCAACATAAGATACAGCATCGGTCGGAATGATGCAGCGGAGCAGCAGCCAAAGGCGAGAGTGCGATGCCAATCCATGCGATTGCGAGGCGCTGTTGCGTTGTTTGCTCTTGTCTCTACCTACTGCATAGCAAGTGGCTTCCTGTCCAGGTAATTGGATGGAAGCCGCGGAAGCTCGGAAAGATTTCCTGTAGGCAGGGATGTTTCCAATAGGTTAAATGATTACAGCATGCATTTACGGCGGCGATGACCTTTACCGAAGCTTGAAACTGGGGCTGGGCCACGTTGTGATGGAGGAGAAACACTCACAAGACACACGCCCCTGGGGGTCATTCGAGGCATATACATCCACCACGGATGCACACACAACCAATGCTATCCCCCGCTCCGGCCGCTTACAGAAGAAATATGACAGATTAGGTGGTTAGATGCTAGGAATCTTGGGATTGGCGTTGGAACGGCTGAGGATGCAACTTTACGGGTGCTCTGTCCGCTCTAGCCGACCTCGGGTTACAGGAAAGCAGCTAGAACACCAATTCGTATTGTATATCACATCACACACTCTCTGTCGAGTTGACAGTCTGATGACATTGCAGCACCGTGCATTCAATGAGCACGCTCCAAATGCGAGGTTGCACAATGCACAGCGCGTGAAAAGCCGACTCCTCAGCGAAGCACAATTACAGCTCAGCCTAGAGCACACCGCAACTGACATCGACCCGCTTAGTTTATCTACTGTGGAGTTGCAGCACCTTCGGGCTCAGGAAGCCGAGATACGCCGGAAATGCCTCGACGGAATCTGATATAAGACTCGGGATGGAGGAGCTGTCGGAGAAGAACGCGCCAGTGGTGATTTTTTCTATTAGGTCACTTAACTCCGCGTGAATGGCCAGAGCAATAAGCGACGCTTAACCGGGTAGAATCACGATACTGGAGTCAATAAGTATTAGGGGGCAAAAAAGATAAGCTCCGGCAAAGCTATTACTGCTACTGCTTGTCGAAGTGGGCTGGCTGAAGTCGTAGGATGCGATAGCCCAGACGCATATCTGTCTGGATTATTTTATCAAATCATATCAGAGAATGAAGGCCCGGAGGAGAGATTGCGTCTAATCTGTCCGACTTATAAATACAAACTCCGAATGCTTATGGGTGTCATTGTCTAAAATGGAAATGGCGATGAGCTCAGCTACGTCGATGCGCATCTCGTGCTTCCTCTTTAGGGTAGGGTTCATAGGTAACGTTCGTCTGGAGTAAGTTACATGCATCCATACATAGAGATCGGATGCACGGAAGGGAAAGGGGGGAAAGGGGCCGCGCCGGAGTTGATGGAGAGCAGCAAGTTGGTGGATGGCTCGGCGGCTGACTGACAACGAAGCGAACGAGCGGAGAAACGTTTACAGAGAGGCATGACATTGCATTTACCAACACCACCTTATGCAGCATGTACAATTCCAGTAGTCTACCAAGCGCCCGGACCTGGAGATAAAGCAGCAACAGCAGCATACTGCGTAATGCGTGGTAGGGCAACTTACCGAACCGACTTACTCGTACATTAGTGGGGAGGCGAAATGGTATCTTGCTAGCCCGGATTGACACGATACGCCGTTTGCTACTCGCGCGTTCGGAGTATTGGCATTCGGGGTCTTGTCTATCTCGCTTTCTAATGTAGCTTAACTATGTTATCTCCTCTGCTCGGCCTATGTCCGTAGCGTAATATCTAGCATGGGGCACCAGCCTTGGGTTAAGCGCCGTTGGCCCTGGCAAAGACAGGCAAAATCACAAAAAGCCGAACTTGCGGAGAGGGAGGTAGAAGCCATTCGGGATCAGCGAACTCTCTGGAGTCTGGTGGCATTGCGAGTGTGCTGCTGACAAAGGTCAGGCGTGACACTGGCTGGCTACCGACACTACAACCAGGACGGCGATACACGTAGCTATAGGCTCGCCTATCTGCGATTAGTCGAGGGCCGTCCGCCGTCCCTGCATGTCTTACTACAGCGGAGTAAATCGCAGAGGCGACAGGGGAGTGGAGAGACCCGGCTGGCTGCTTGAAGAGGTAGGGTTAGGCCTGCTGCGTGATCTCGGTCGGTCTTGGCGACGAATGGGGGAGACGGCGATTTGTAGCTCAATTATTCACCACATGCCTCCGTACTCGTAGATACATAGCGTAGCTAAGCAGAAAGGGCCAGTCCAGTCCAGTCCAGTCTAGTCCGGGTTGTCGCCCGCGTGGCTTGGAGACGTAATGGGGTAATAAAGGTGAGGTGAAGTGTCGAGTATTCTCTCAACTAACTCGACTACTGCGTAGTAGGTAGGCTGAGGTAGGTAAGTAGGGACACTATCTGCACTGCACACCCTCCATCACATCACTTCACCTCCTTGCTTTTGCCCGCCGTCAAACAAGGCCCGTTCCCGCCCCATCTAACCCACTCGTCTCGTGCGCGCATGCACCTGCCGATTGATGCTGCTGCTGCTGCTGCTGATGCTGATGCCGAATCGATAGTGAGTAAGTAGACTAAGAGAAGATGATAGAACGGGGTAGTTACTGTATCTACCTGACCTCGGGGAGCAGATGAGATGGCTACCCAAGCTTTCTCAGACCACCCCCCTCCTGTGGGATTAATATTCCTCCCGGAGCAGGCCAGCCAGCCAGTCAGTCAGGTTATTTGGTTGGTTAACGTTTTGATAGCGTTATAGTGTGTACAACACAATCTTGTGCAGATCTGAAGTGTGGCCCACTCGCCCACCACAACCACAAGGCACCCCCGTCCGTCCCCCCAAAAAGGACCAGGCCCGGTTGGACGCCAGTAGCCGCTACATCCTGCACCCGCCTTCCTCCCGGCCCCCGACCGAAGGACGTACCACAGCCAGCCTACCTACATACCTACCTTACCCTCCCTCTACCACAGAGTAAGAGTACTGTGCCGTGCTGTGGTGTGCTGTGGTGTGCTGCGGTGTGCTGTACGGTACATCCCATCATCTTCTAACCTGCCTCTGCCCTACCCGACGACCCTGACAGACGAACAGACATCCAGACGGACATACAGAGACGATTCCCCCCAACAACCCGCAAACGCTCTGTTGCAACATTGCTATCGTCCGCTCTTCACTTCGAGCACCACGCCCATTGCTTTCCGACGTGGGCTCACAGTGGTTTATAAGCGCTCGGCTTCTGCATTGCCTGCTTACCTAGTCGCCTCAAAGGTCGCTATCGCAGCCGCACGCTTCCGTGCGACGACGACCTGTCTTGAGTGACGGGGCGTCCGCCTTCGATTCCACCACCACCACCCCCAATCACTCAGTCTCCTTGAACCGAATCAAATGGCGCATCGAACACTCTCCCTGCGATGACCTCCCGACCCCCCTTGGGCGTCCAGCAGCGACAGCCCCAGAGATCGCTGAGCGGCGGTGGCCTGTCGCAACGGCCCGCCCACCAGCGAACCCTCTCACAGCAGTATCTGCCCCCGTCTCCCATACGCAAGGAGACCTTCCTAGACTTCTCAGACAACCGAAGCGATGTCGCACAAACTCAGTATGGCACGCCTCGGAGGGGAGGCTCGCGGCTCAAGCTGGAGCTCTCCAACAATCCCATCACCGAGACCTCCATCATCGAGTCCCCCAACGCAATCGATTCGTCGACCAGGGTGTTCACGCCGTCCCGTGTCATGCCTCTGACTGATGCTTCCGAACTGGGCGAAATGAGTCCCCGGAACTCGACGAGAGGTCAAGCGGTCGACGCCGATGCGGCTCCCTTACCAATGCCCAAACGCCGGCCACGCTTTGCCCTCCCCACCGCAGGCCGGGATTCGAATATACTCCCCCCGGCGCCAGTCAAGAAGGACCCTCGACCTAAGCCATATAACCTCGAGGTTCCTTCTGCCGCGCCTCGCTACCAAGTACACCATCTAGAAAATAAGCCGCAGGGCAAGTCGGCCGCGGCGAGCCTCACCACGAACAATGTCACGCAACCTATCACCGGATATGCCGACTTCTTTGCATGGAGTGGGGACCATCCCGAGGACCATTTTTCTGAATCGGTAATCAGGCAGGGCTTCTTTGACAAGGCCCCAATCTCGCAGACTGAAACCTCTTCGGCGAAAGGTGCTCTATTCCCAGCATTGAAGCACAAAAGTGGCCTCCACGCACTGTCGACTGTCTTCACCGGGGTGCTGGCCCAGAGAAGACACAGCGGTCAGATCAACTCGCCTTCGACCTTCAAGCCGCCGCCCCGAGTCACACTTACCGATACGAAGAGGGAAGTGTGGTTGAAGGACCTGGCGAACCCGGCGATCTCATTGAGACGTTTGAGCCGCACGATACCCCACGGCATCCGAGGCAAAGTTCTGTTGGACCAATGCCTCAACAAGAACGTGCCTACGGATAGGGCGGTATGGTTGGCCAAGTGTGTCGGTGCAAACGAGATTCGAGCCTTCAAGAGGAAAGGTGTTAATAACACCTTCGTCATGGGCGGTGAAGCTAAGTGGATCAGGGATTGGACTGTTTTCGTTGAACAATTCGTTGAAGGGGTTGTTTCCTCTTTTGGCGATGCAGAGTGGAAGTCCAAAGTCAATTATGCGTGAGTATACCCCCCGTCGCCAGCGTGTTGTGATGCTAATGTGATATAGTATTCGCCTTGCAACGCATCTCTACGCCGAGCATCTGTTAGATCGAGAGCGTTATATGGACTGGCTAGTCTCAAGCCTTGAGAACAGCCCGCACTCCAAACTACCCATGTGGATGCTCATCACGCAAATATATTGGAAGGACGTCCTTCGCCTACGGAGACATGGCCGTCGACTGGTCGCTTCCCTCTTGGGCCACCTAGCTACGGTGGGCATCTTCGATTACCCATGTCAAGCCTCTGTTCGCTAACAACCTCATAGATCCAACGCAATCCTGATCGAGACATCCTTCTACCCCTATCTTCCAGGTTGCTTTTATTGATTAGCAATTTGATGACTACTACTCCGGAGAATTTCATCTCCCCCCAGTCCTGGATGAAGCACAGAGATGCTGTCCAGACACTCTTGTCTGCGGATGACGAGAATCTGCAGGCCGCTTACAGGGCGATTGACGTGCGAAACGAGCAATTGGTAGCCACCAGCGTCCGAACACAACCAGCAGCAAGACATGTACTAGTGAAAATGTTGGATGCGTCACTCCAGGCTCCGATGTCCACTGATCTACCTACGCAGTGCTGGAATGTCAGTCTTGACAAATCAGCGCTGGTCAGAACCTTGCTTGAGTGGTGCACGTCGCTGTATCGACCCGGCTTTACCAAAGTCTATGTATCAAGTCGTTTGCTTATGGTGTGGAGCACTTTTGGTCTGGACGTCACGGCAGCTGTTCTCGACTTTGTTGATGCTGATCCACTGAAGGAGCTTGGTCGAAAAACCTCAACTTATCACTTGGTCGCTGAGCTCGTCCGATCAGGTCTCTTCTCTGTCTCGCACTATATCCAGTGGCTCATTGCGAGGGGTGGATTGCATGATCCAGCCGACGTCGCGCCAGACGGGCCTAGCAGCACTCGGCTTTTGGTAGAACTTCCGGTCCACGTGCTCACTGAGTCTCTGAAGACTATGCGAGCGAACTTGCTCAGCCGAGCAGCATACAGTGTTGAAGATGAGACAACCGATGCTGCTAACGCTATAACGTGCCTCAAGGCTACATTAGGAATGCCTTTGGAAGATGGCGAAGTCGTTAATAGGAAGCCCATGCCTGTCGTTAGGCTTGCAAAGCGTATCAAGAACAGCAGCCGGGCACTGAAGACAGAAATCGGGGCGTGGATCCGCACTAATGTGATTGTCGAACTTGAAAGGGAGCAAAAGGAGGCTAAGGAGGGCCCGGACATGCAGCCTACGACCTTCAACGCCATTCGGACCATTCTTGAGGCCGCGGAGGATTTCGTGATCCTGGCACTGTTCCTGAGCAACGTTTGCCGAACCTCCAACGTGGAAATCCTTGCATCCTGCGCCGACACCATCAGCTACCATCTTCCAACAATCGAGGCTGGGGGAAGTGCAAAAATCATGTTCGACTTGTTGATGGCAAGACTGAGGTCTATCGTCGAAGAGCAAGGGATAGCAGCACGTCCGCTTCTTGCGTCACTGGCCAATCTTGCCCCCAAGATTCCTGGTCTGGAAGCTCTGGGCTTGCAACTAAAGCAGGAGCTGGTTCGCAACGATCGCAGTACGGCTGTCGATGCCTGCTCGCCGGTCTCGGACAACATGGCGGCGCGACTTCAAGACGAGGAAGGCGAATTGCATGAGGAAATCGAGAAGCTTCTCATGAACGGTACCAGTCTTGACCGTAATACTATGAATAGGCTATTCCAGACGGTGGTACTGCGGCTTCAGAGTGGGTGGGAAGCGCCAGACGAGAAGCACAGGGCGTATGCAGCGCTGCTAACAAGACTGCGACTCTTCGACGAGAAACACTTCGACACGATCCTCACCAAGTGGATATTTCAACTACGAAATATGAAGGACAGGCCGCCAATTAGGCAGCTATTCCCCCTCTTGGTCAGTTTGGGGTGCCTCAGCTTTTCAATTATCTTGGCAACAGCATCTAGCGAGGCGTCACACTCGTCGTCTCAGGGGCCATCGTCGAAGTACAGTCAAGAGGTCGTCCAAGTAATGACCTTGCCAGTCACGTCTAACGGACTGCTAACGCCCGAGGAGGCCTACCGATTCAGCATTTTACAAAGTCAGGTGCCTAAGTCTCACCTGACGGAGATGCTGGCTCTGATCCGGAGCGCGCTAACAGAATACGCTTCCTGCCGAAGCCGTGGAGAGGTCCAGAATTTGGCATTCGACGATCCCGACGTTCGCACTCGGCTTATGGGTCTGCTGGGGTCCCTCGTCCTGGCCGACTCCAATGCTGTCTCCAAGGCGTTGGCGATCAAGAGCCCTGATCCGGCTGTTGTAAAGCTAATTGACAGCATCACTACTCGACTACTGATCCCCACAAGCACCGAAGACACTCAAATTTCATTCGATCAGATTCTGGAGCTTACAAACGAGTTTACTCTTCCGTTCACGAAGCTGAAGCTTTCGCTAAGTCTTGCATCTGGGGACACGAGTTTTGACGCACAGGAGCGAATGCAGAGTCACCTTGAACTGTTCTCCAAGGCTATGGATAGCGCCATCGACGCTAGGAACATCACCTGGACAGGAATGCTTCCTTGCCTGAGCCCAGAGATTACGCAGCATCTGAAGAATCGAGCACAGGCAAGATTTCTCGATATCTTACCCTCCGCAAAGGTGGCGGCTCCTGTGGGAAGAAGTCAGGAGCAAAGTATTCAGATGGCCGAGAATCTTCTCTCCGTCATTGACACCATCATTCGAGGTGGCTCTATGGGACGACCACCACAGCTTGTGCCGGCTATGGTCGACAAGCTGGCAGACATGTGGGAGATTCTAGGCTCTGGCGACCAGGCTTCGAAAGCAGCCATGCTTAGTCACTGGCTGCCGTCCCTATTGACCTTCCTCACTCTGCACACTTCAACATTCGATACCTCGAAGGCAAGCAACGAGGTCCGCGCCAAAGCACTACTGGTCCTGTCTGGCATCCTGCAAGAGCTCGACGCCATGTGTCTCCCTGACACACCACTGCCCGTCGCGCTCAGCCAACGCGTCTTCGATCTCGCGCTGCTGCTAGTTGACAACCTTGCCGACGACGTGCGCCTGCAGTGCGTGCGCGCGCTGCGGGAGACGACGAGCGACTCGCGGCTGCGCTACCTCTTCAGCTTCGCGCCCAGCCCGAGCGAGAACCTGATGCTGGCGCACAAGGAGAAGCCGGCGCCGGGCGAGCGGCCGCGCGGCACGGGTCTGCTGGGCGTGAATGCGCTCGCGTGGCAGGCGCAGCAGGTACCCGAGCGGCTGACGCTGTTCACCTTCCGCCGCTGGGAGATTCTCAACGAGCCGACGCCGAATGTGGGCGAGAACGACACGAGTCTGAGCCTGACGCTGTTTGATGCCATCAAGCTGCAGTAAGGGGATGGATAGGAGTTTACGTATACGACATACACAAGTACATTATAAAGGAAGTAAGAGTAGCATGGAAAAAAGGGGTATATCGGGGGCAACGGGCCTTATTCATATCGATATCAAGCAGGGAGGCGAAACAAGAAATCATATACATGGGGAAGGTGGGCATCGATTATCATCACGACTTAACGGCGGTATGACAGAACGGGATCCGGGTTCATGAGGCGCTGGCGTGTGTGTCTGTCTGCAATGAGTCTGCCGTCTTTTAACAAGGGGCGGCTGCGGGCTTTTTTTCCCCTATCTATACCAGCATCATTATTACTATTGGAGGCGGTGGGACATGCGGGCGGGATTGTATCAAGTTGGTGTAGTCGCTGCTGTTGCGCCGGTCTCTTCGACGAGAGCGGACGTATAAACTGATAGATCAAATGTTAAGATTTACTTTGTATCATCCATTGGACCCATGCGTTTTGCATGCTGTGGAACTGAATAGATGCCAGCCAAGACTAGTCGAGCGAGCTTGAAGCCGATTCAGACTGATGCCCACAGCCTTGTCCAACCTACTCACCTGACTTCACACACACTTGATCAACATGCTCGCACTTCAATTGGCCGAACTAACTCGCTCTTCCTGAGGCACCTCTGCATTTTTGTTGTCGCGACCGCATTGATAAGGCTGCGTTGGTTGTCTGTTCCAAACGTTTGATACCTTCTCGACGTCGGTCACCCTACTTTTAATAATACATTTTGTTAAGCAGCGTCTCATTTTTCTCTCCATCAGACATCTTTACCAGCAACAAAAACGCTTTTGACGTCGGTGGTCACGATGCCCGACGAGCCTTCCTCCAGCCTTGTGACCACCGGTCAGCTAGACTGGGTGGCCTTGGCCCGCACGCCCGTCTCCTTCACGCTCGAAGCCATGTCGCGCATCGCCAAAGCCGGCGTCGAGATCGTCACCGTCAGCGTGGGCAGTGCGATCTGCTCGTCGTTCGCATTCGGTCCCGAGGGTCAGAAAGAACTCACCGACTCCCTCAATGGGCTTCAAGGTACTGGCGCTTTCTCCAAGGCGTTGTGGTTTGGCTTTGGCGTCAAAAGTCTGGCATCGATGCTCTCCGAGACGGAACAAGGTGCTTGCTGCGTGGCCCTTTGTGCTGCTTTGAGTATACCTTATACGCCTTTCAGAGCAGCACATATTTGGAGGGAGATGACCAGGCAGGTCAACGCTCCGGACGCCTTGACCCCTTCAATACACCAGTGGTCAAATCTGGTGAAAACCTGCTCAGGGGCTTTGGCAGAATCACATTTCCCTCTTGTATTCGATCACTTCTTCCGCCTGCTCGTACCTCATAGGACTCCATATCGAGAACCCGCACCAGCTGAAGCACTTGGGGAGGCTCTTCTTATATTGGCCCGACTGAGTAAGGGATCAATGGCCAGTGCCGTCTTTGTTGGTGGCATGGACTGTGCGCTTCTAGCCACAATCTCCAAAGTTCTTCTTCGCCTGAAAGTAGAGATTCGGGATGGGGAGAACAGCTTGCTATTCGCAAGTGACACAGGGCCGGCTCAAGCAATCTTTATTCGAGAGAGTAGAGAGACAGAATCTACCGCATGGGCAAAGTTGATCCACAAACGAGCATATTTCGTTTCTAATGGAAGAGAAATCATCGACGAGTTCGGCCCAGATGATATTTTTCATGGTCCTACACAATGGTCGACAGTATTCCAAGATGCCTTCCCTGGCTGGCGCATGTTTTCGAACCCTCCCTTAGCTGCGGCATTTAGTATTCTCCTCCGAGATGCTGCTCTGCGATGTAATGAGATCGCTACCAAGCCTGCAAAACTCATGTTACCGGGGAAAAATGGGAATCTTAAAGTCCTTCACCAGAGTTTCGTCGGATTCTTCCCGGAGACCCATCCAATGCGAGCTGCGATCAATTTTCTATTTCATGCTAGGGCGATGTTTCCCGAGCTAATTGCTATTACGGAGCCTCCGCATGTCCTGCTCATGACTCCTGGGACATATGACGAAAGTATTGCACAGATCACAGAAGCCTGCCAATGCCGCAGTTGTCATGTGACTCGTGATTATGACCTTGAGACAGACTGGTTGGAAGATATTAGCTGCTTGAGGATAATCTCTTCAGCAGTCTTACACATAATAGGGCTTGTATCCGGTTTAAATATCCACAAAGGCGTTCGTCCCAATATATTCGGAGTGAGAGCTAGAGCTCGTCACATGGTTATGGACCAACCTCGCACAAATTCTTCCAATCTTTTATTCCATAATGGCACCGGATTATTAGAAGAGATCCTGGCAATCTTCACAGGCGAGAAGGCTAGCTCTTCGATTACCTCAATACCCAAGGCAGCGGTCTGTGCCCGGGGAGTTTGTGTCGTCAACTCGCTCATGATGGACCCGAACAAAAGCCCTGATACCTTGTTGTTTGAGGTGATGCCAGGAAACATCAGATATAATAACCATTACTACCGCTTCATTACGGAAAAAACTTCCTTAAACATTAGAGACCCGGATATTCTCGTGGGAGGACTGGAGAATACTCAAATGATTGTCGAGGAAATCGATGATCCAAGCACACTCACGGCATTTTATCGTCTTAGCCTTCAAACTGGAGTCATCTGTGACCTGAACATAGTCAAGGCGAGAGCAAATGTCGCGAGATGGCTTTATTTGGATGAGTATAGACACGGAGAGCTGACGAATCTCTTCGACACTTATAAGGTTGTGGATGTTGTTCGAACTCCACATTCTGGATTCGATGTAGTCTGGTCATTGGTTCGAATATTCGAGTCTGCGAACGCTGAACCATTACAGGCGGAGATACTTGTCTTGCGAAACCCTCTTCTCTATTATGTCGCCAGTGTCCACCCATTGAATTGCAAGGCAGCATTGTTGAAGATGTGTTGTTGTTCCAGCTGCGTCCAACAGTTGACCTGTGCTGTACTGCAATCCTTGCCGGAGCGTCCAGATTCAAGGACTGTCAACTGGTATATCATGGCGAACTATGAGCTTGGTAGTGGAGGAAAGGACGTAATGATGTATAAATCTATGATGACAGTCAGTGCCAAACGGTCTATACCAATCACGATTACTGCTGTACAGCCGAAATCGGGAAGTTGTCAATGAAGAGAAAAGCAATTGGCTCATGACTATCACCAGAGCCGTGCGTGGAATTCATCATACTATATAGAAGTGGACTGGAAATGATGTATTTGATCCTGAAAGGTGAGATGTGCTTAACAACGCAGACTTTAAGTGGATTGCGGGCAGTGACTCATTCCAGACAACCCGGTGTGATTATCAGTCGTGTATGAACATCATATGGATTTCAAGCCCTCATATATGAATTTGGCACCAAAGTATGATGTATATGCCTCATTAATTCGGTCTTGAAGTCAAACACAGTATTCCTAGAGGAATTTTGAAATGTAGTAGGCACACGTCTCCATTAATATTCATCTATTGCTCAACTCCCAGCTTCTCAAATCTCCAATAATATACTAAATATAGGAGTCAGGGCTACAATCGAGCTATATAATCTCTACTGCTATGTTAAATTGGATACTGAAAAGAGACAATGGTATCATATTTCAACGTGTATCTTATTGTGTATTAGACAGAGTGATCTGGGCCGAACTGATCAAATAAATAAACTTCCTTTCAATTGATTCAAACTGTTTCAATAGCGCTTGGACGTATCTACTCGTATGCTGTTTAATGTGATAAACGTAAAAACTTGCAAGCATGTTACCTAAGCTTTGGGTGTTTGTGGACTATCTAGCTAACATATACCATTTTTTGGGCTAGAATCGAGGTAGATCTTCGAATCCATTTCTCCGGGGGATCCCCGAATATACAAAAAAGTCACACTCGAATTGCATTCCATTCCCGGAATCTGGCACCCACAGGCCGACTCACCAGCCCATTCCCTGGCTAGACACTCACAATCCCGATTCCAATACGGATATTTCCGACCCATTAAACCCTTGTGAAATATTCCACGCCGCTCGTCATGCCATCTTTGTGATCAATACAATTCTTTCATCTGCCAAGGCTCAGGAAAACGCTCCACCCACAACCTTGTATCCTCGGCTTGTTCTTCGAGTTCTTATTCGGTGGGAAGATGTGGCAACATACCGGAGGTAGGACCTGGATACAGTCGGCCATTGTCTAGAAATACCCAGGCCTATTGTCGATAGATATTTCGGAGAAGCTCTGATGAACTTAAAAGCCGTGAACGAAGCTTGCAGTACACTCCCGAGTCACCTTCGTTTTGGTGATCAGCTCGGTCAATAGGCCAGCCCATGGGTTCTGTATAAGTCGGGTCAACTGACCGCCAGCAATCAAGGAAGTTTCTAAGCCATACATTGAGACAGTCCAAACCACGAAGGCCGAGCGTGGCGCATCGAAGAAAGGTTGCGGCAAGATCAAAACCGAATGATGCCAACCAAGATGTGATATCAACGTCCCAACCGCCATTTAGGACAGCAACGTACACATCAGCATTGACTTATAGACTGCTTCTGCCGTATGTCTCCCTTCCCGATCCGACTTTTCAAAATAATGAACCAAGCTGGTACCATGACCTAGATCCTCTGTCGGATCTGCCGTCCCCCTCTCTATGGGCTGAACTTTCGGGACAGCTCATTGATGATAATCTTCTTCAACTTGCTCTTTTGCATTGCGGCCTCATACATTGTCACCATCGTGCCATTGACTGGCACGCGTCAGATGATTCAATCTCGATATGTATCCGGGTACGTGTAACACAGTACAGTATGGCGATATTGTCCCTTAACTGACGAAAGCAGAAAATATCCCAATATACTAAGCACATTTGTGATTGTCCTAATTGCAGGAGGATTTGGTTGTACCGCCACGATCATCGCTGGCCAGAGCCTTCTTACATGTCAGATGGGAACTTGAGCCAGCCACTCGGCATGTTGATCATCGTTCTCATCAGCCTTGTGGTATCCTTCTTCGGTTATCACATCCTGCATCTGTATGAGCGTTGGGCGTGGATACCAGTCCTGGTTGCGGTCATATTCACCATTGGATGCACCGGCTCAGATCTGGCACAGCCAGCACAAGAGACGCCAGCGACAGCAAGACAATACCTGGGAGTCATCGCCCTGGCCGGTGGCAGCCAGATCACATGGGCGATGCTTGTCGGCGACTACTGTGTGTACATGCCGCCTACCACTCCTCGGCTCCGTCTTTCGGCATACATGACATTTGGCATCTGCTTCCCTTATACTGTCTCCCAGATCGTACCAGCTCCATTGCAAGTGCAATTCCAGCCCACCCTTCCTGGGGTGCCGCTTACGTTTCCCATGGCATCGGCGGCGTGCTTGGCGCCATCTTGTATAAAGTTGGTGCTTTGGGGATTCATCCTATGCATTCTCGCCTTGAGTGTCGTCGGGTCCGTCTCTCGGGACTACTACACAGTCTCTGTCAACCTTCAGGTCCTGGTTCCAGTGCTCAAAAAGGTCCCTCGTGCCTTTCTGGAAATTTTGGCAGCTGGCGCTGCTTTTGGCGTATCTGTCGCGGCATACCAGTCGTTCTACAGCTCGTTGACGACCTTCCTGTCCATCATCGGCTACTACGGAGCGTCCTCACGGTCACGCTCATCGAGTGGTTCTACTTCCGCAAGGCTAACCCGGCATCCTTCGATGCGGCGATCTGGAACGATGCGAGAAAGCTGCCCAGCGGCCTCCCAGCTCTGGCGAGTGTCCTGGTCCCCTGGGCCCTGATCGTGCCGGCTATGGATCAAAGCTGGTATGTCGGTCCAATTGCAGCAGCGGCCGGTGATTTGGGTGTTTTCTTCGCTGGTATCCTCTCGGCAATGCTGTATTTCCCTCTCGGATCCTGGGAAGTCAAGTTCAACGGTGGACGGCTTCAGAGAGCAGAGGTAATCTCATCGAAGGCAGCGGATAATGCAGGAAAATGCTGTTACCAACAGCAAATGGGTCTGGCACATTAGAATTATAGACTTTGACAACATGTACATCATCGATTCTCCAAGATATCCCAAGTTTTATCAGAATATCAAAAGTTGAAGAGGCCTGCACCAGGGAGGTGTGAAATGCGCTTATGTAACTGGGTGTGACTGCCAAGCGGCACAGACGAGCCTCACCACTTGTGCCCCTGTCCGACCGCTGAAGGATTCAGCGGCTCTTCAACCATTCAACCACATCAACCAAGATGGCTCAACACCATCAATTGAGCTCTCGATGATGGCCGCGCAATTCAGTAGATCATCAATCGCGCGCTGCGACATGTTTTTGACGATGCGACGGTGGTATTCCTGCTTTTTCCTTGCTGTTGCCGTGCTGGCGAGCGCTTGCACGTGCACACCAGTCAAAGGCCCGTTTCGTTTCAGTCATGAAACTCGCCTTCATCTCTGACCCCTGGTGCGATGAAGGGCCCCATACGAGAAGCGTCGCAGAGTGGCACCATGAGCACCGCCCTGCCCAGCCCTTGGTGTTTTGGTGTCTGGACTCTGGCGGTGTCTGTCTGTCTGTCTGTCTGGGCTTTTGCATTGATTGCTCTCTCTCGTATTCTTTCCCGCTTCTCCTTTCTCCCCTCCTGCTGTTTTCTCTTCCCTTCCCTTTCCGTTCGTCCCGTTTACTTCTCTTCTTCCGCCGGCCAGCATTACCTAATTCTTGTGATCGTCAAACCTTCACCTTCATTTCTCTCTCTTGCTCGCGCGCGACCGTGTCGACCGCTCCGAACAGTCATTACAATACGAACCTTATCCAGCAGCTGGTCTGAAGAGTCTCTACGTTCATTTGATACATACACTCGTCGGGAAGAAATATCCACATATACCAATTCACATAATATCACCACCAAAACAAGCAAAATGAAGCCTGCTACTTTCGCCGCTGCCGCCATCGCCTTCTGCGCCTCCCTCGTGAGCGCCGGCGTTGTCATCACGCCCGTCTTCGCCGACCAGGTTGTTCCCAAGGCTGCAGACGATTGCTTCTTCGGCGTGACGACACCGTCCGGATGCGCGTGAGTAGACCCGGGAATTAAGCAAGGCAAATGCAACCAGGCATACTGACATGGTCATAGTCCTCTCCGAAAGCAATCATAATCGCCTTCAGTTTAGGCAACGGAGCGATCGATCGAGTTAATAGGAGCACCGCGATGCATCATCACCGGCGTGCACTGGATGGCTGGGACATCGAACGGGGGAATCTCGGAGTAGTCTCTCGATGAGAAGGGAGGATGCATCATTGCATCGCACTCATGGCCGGCCCCGCTTGACAGAGACAGTTGAAGCTGAGGAGGGGATGAGGGGAAGAAACAGGTCTTCATTTCTTGGACAATATTCAATGATATCCAATACAAATGCCGCCACAGTGGCACTAATTTCACCCAAGGCGCCTAAACCTAGACCCATCATTTGAATGCGGTAAACCCGCGACTTGCTCTGTATAACGGCAAGAGAAGTCAATTAATGTGCCAGCCCCAAGTGTCGTGTCATTATCTTTTGAAGTACCTTTGCAGCCCTTGATCGCTCTTCAACTTGCTGTTGTCATAAATAGAGTTACATTGTTGATATGCATAAATCTACAAACCTAATGCACGTGCGAAAACGGATACATTGATCCTCGACTCAACATGTCGAATATGTTCATTGGATTGTTATACCCTGGTAGATACAATACTTTGTCTATTCCAGACCTGATCCCGTAGACGCCAAACCCAAGCCAATATGCTATGCGAGGTACTCTCTAAACAATCGAGACCCATTAACCCAGTCAATTCATAGCCAAGTGATCTCAAACCAACAATGATAGGCTCGCGAGGACAGCCAGCGCAGCCCACAATGCACTAGCAGAGCCACCCATCCGGCTACCAGCATTCTGATTGCTGTCAGAATTGGTCGAGGAAGCATCGCAGTCTCCCGTGAAGTTGGCCGCGGCACCCGCGCCCGCCGGGATCGCCGTCTCGCTCTTGCCGCAGTTCTCGTAGGGGGCCATGAGGATGGCGTTGCTGGTCTGGTCGAAGACGACGTACGCCGAGCGCAGGAAGGTGTCGCCCAGCAGGGCGGAGATGCCCGAGTTGGTGTCGAGCGCCTGCGTGCCCAGCACGCACGTGTCGCCGCCGGCGTCGAAGATCCACTCGCTCATGGGCACGTGGATGGTGATGCCGGGGAAGGCAAAGTTGATCATGGCGTTCTGGTCCGCCACGGAGCAGTCGACCAGGTACAGCCCCGAGTCGCTGTCGAGCTTGGCGTCGAAGTCCTCCACCATGCCCTCGACGACAGAGCTGGGCAGGATGCTCAGGCTGGAGCCCGTGTCCAGGACGATGGCGGTGCTGCCGCCGGAATAGGTCTTGGACTTGCCGTCGATGGTGGCGCCGACGCTGTTCAGCTGAATGCTGTATCTGTTGATGTCGTTCGCCGTAGGAGCGAGGATGTCGTTTGATACGAGACTACCACTGAACTTCTTCGTGTCCACGCCACCAAATATGATGACGCCGGCGTTAGTAAATTCATTGCCGCCGAGCGCGACTGAGAAGGCCTTCGACTGTGTGGCATTCTGGGCATATAGCTCGTCCACAAAATTCTTGTACTGCAAGTTCTTGCCATCGCCAAAGCCCAAACCCAAAATGCCTTCGTTCAGGTCAGCATCAGCAATCGCGACGCCAAACTGGATGCTGGTAAGGTTGATAGCTAGGTGACAATTGTTAGCAAGCTGCCGTGTCTGGAACGCGAATTTTTCACTCACTGCTCTCTGGCAAGGCGACATTGTCCGTCACATATTGTATCCTGACCTGCCCAGTTCCGTATGTGATGTCATTCGTCGTCTGCAAGTCCTCCACCGTTGATGAGTTGTTTGGGTCATATGTGCCGTCGTCCTCGCACTCTTGCGATTGCGTCTCGGTGATCGTCCTGCTGTTGCAATTCGGGTCGACCCATAATTCGTCTGAGCCGGTGTCTATGGCGACCTTCACTGATTGTCCGGGTGTTCCCACGCTTACTGTCAAGAAATTAGATCATTGCCAAGCTTCGGCGCACAAAGGACATTCTTACGCTCAACGAGGTAGCTAGTGGTCGAAATGTTGAAAAGCGGCACATCTCCGTCGCGCTTGACCACCGGCGCGACCGAGGACTTGTGAGTAATGGGGAACGACATGAAGCCGGGATTTGGTGCTCGAGGTAGCACATCAGCTGCGCTGCTTGCAGCAAGTGCAAGTGCGAGCAGTGACCGTGAAGTCATGGCGTTTCTGATTGTATGCTGTTGCGAAACCACTAGAAGTGCCAGGTTCTTCTCCAATCTCGAGAAATTAGGTGTAATGTCAAAGCGAGGGCTAAGCTCCAGAATGAACAGAAGGATATGGGAATCACAAGGAACCAAGAGGACATAAAGAAAAGTAATCAGTATACCAAGAATGGAAACGGGTCAATTATGTATGCAGAGCAAACACCTACAGCGCTTACCTGCCGCCCTGTCCAACTGCATAGCTAACCCGGCTGCAAGGGTCGCCGCTCTGCGACAGGAGGAAGACGCAGCCAGCAGCCATGACCTTAGTGTAGGTAGCCCATCCTGCGAGCGAGCCCATCTTGCCCGTCTCATCGGGGCCGAGTGGCGCGGGGAGGCTAAGCACATAAGTTGCACAGGCATCTGACACACTTGTTGCACGAAGGATGGCCACTGACTGGCCGATCACCTCGAGAGTCTTGCGCGTTGCCACCACCATGGAGCGCCGGGCTTATTTGCGCAGTCGGAAGCTGGGCTTGGCTGATAGCAGCGTGCAGAATCGGACCCGTCCTTTTTCACCTTTGACCAATTTTAGAGCAACGCTACACGGTAGCTTGATTCATCATTCCTCAGCAGTGAAGCTCGAGTGAGTTGGTTACTCCCGGTAAAGTCGGCCGGTCGGGGCGTTGGCAGATCTGGGGTTCCTTTCTTGAGGGACCTGCGGTTGCGTCATCACCTGGATCTATACCGGATACGTGAGAGCAAAACACGCTGGAAATGTGGGCTGCCTCTCGGTGGCCCAAGTGCCGGTGAAGCAGCTGAGCAGAGGACCCCTCAAAGGGAGACGTAAGCCTCGGTCAGGCTGCTGTGCAATTGGCCCACGAACTCGCCGTGTGAAGTGAAGTCCATACAAGCATCTCCCTTCACAGACCCGTTGACGATGTCAATGTCAAGAAGGTGGAGGAGGTTCGGGCTGCTTAATGCTTTCGATGGTTAAGCTTTGCCAAGCTTTCTCGGCAAGTGGTCCCCAACCGCCTCCGCCTCCGGGCCTTTAAATTGATTAAGGTAGGTGTTTACATGTACCATACCAGCGTTTCAAAGTGGGGTGAGTACCTCGCTGCTCAAAGAATATATGCCAGCATTCGTCTTCATTGTCCACGGTGACATCGTAACATACAGCCATGATGGGAGGAACATGACCTATCAATAATGACTCAGGATGAAATGAGCGTCGAGGGCCAATCTTCCATGCGTGCCTACAATTTTACCACGGGGTGAATGGTTTGGCGCTAAGAGTGGTTTCGGATGTTCGAAAAGGCTGTGGCCACCCAGGCTGGATCATGCCTAACCCGTAAATTGGCTAACTTGGAGGTCGGAATTCACTCAACTGAAATCACTGAGGACTCCGAACAACCCTTGAGAGCTTCGCATGATAAACATGTTGTTCGATTCTTAGGCGCCTTCGGCAAGGAAGATCATGATATAGATAATATTTGTCGAATGACTCTACATACCCTTCCAGCTGCGGCTCATGTTACTCTCCATTAGCTGTTTTGCGCATTGCCTTCCTTCCTCTGGCCGATGATATCCAAAGCAAAATAGACCGATCCACCGCCTCACTGAAGCTCTCCAGATTATGGACTGTACCGGGAGCTCTCATCTCAGTTCTGAGCTATGCCACCGTGATCGTTTCCGCACGTCTCGCCTCCACGGTCCTCGGGACCAAGCGGATCAAGAGCTCTGGTTTATCCCAAAGGAAATGACATATGCTCCTTTCCAGCCATCCTTCACTACGCGGGCCAAGTTCAAAGTCGAAATTCCAGGCCATTCTTGCCAGCATCAGACGCATTTCGGCATGCGCAAGACTGTGAGCAGATCAGCAAGGGGGGGCTGGCTTTGTCTGTTTTCCGGTTCATGACACAAACTTTTTTCCAATGCAGTTGCGTGGTCCGACAGAGAATGGCTGCGCCGCTTCCAATCTGTCGCTCGCAAACTCGGGGTCACCAAGCCATCTTTCTGGGATCAGGCGTTCGGGATCTTTGAAGAGTTTCGGGTTGTGGAACATGGGCCACTGCCAGATTTGGAGAATAGTCTAGTTGTGAAGCGTTAGTCAATACTCAACGGCTGATAGGCTAGGAAGACTTACGTCGGGCGGAATATACTCTCCACGAATCGTAGTCCCATTAGGGGGTGCCTTGCGAGGTATGGCAGAAGGCACAGGTGGATAGATGAGGAGAGTCTCGTGCAAGACGGCCATCATGTAATCCGGTTTCTGGACGCTGAGAAAGTCAATCTCGTCTTCGCTGTTGAAGTTCGCCCTTAGCTCGTCCTGTAACTTTCGCAAGATTCGTCTGTTGGTAGCCAGCAGATAAGTGGTGCCTGATAGCGCAGTTGTGGTTGTCTCAGATCCGCCCACGATCAGATTGTGGGCGTTGGCGAGGGTCTCTTTGTGCGAGATTTGCTGGTTATCAATCAGATGTAGTCAAGCACATGGCATACCGCACTTTACTGACGCCTTTCTCAGAAGCCTGCACGATCGACATCATGAAGTCTGGCCTGGCGTCCCTGAACGCAAGACGTTTGCCCACTTGTGCTTCCGTAAACTCCCAGTGGTTCTTTATGTCATTTATCACGTTCTTTGGAGTCAATAATGCGGCGAGGCTGTCGGCAAAAGGATACCTGATCAGAGCAGTGGCGATGGCCATGCCCTTGATATGCTTGAAAATGAGCTTTACCCAAGGGGGATCGTGTGCGTTATCCACGCAGCCAAACGGTTCACCAACGGCAAGGTCGCCGATCATATCGAATGTAACCCAGTTATACCAAGACGTCATATCCAGAGCTTGGCCTTTGGCGTAGGCTGTCTTCAGCCTGTCCATCAATAAGGAAACGTAATGCACGAAAGTAGGCTGTTGTTCGATCATGGCCTGGGCAGAGAAGCCGTGACATGATCTTTCGTAGCCGGTTATGCCTTTCGCGGTTTGAACCTACAATAGTCATGGAGTCACCTCGCCAGAATGCAGGGTCTCTTCCATTTTCGTCCTGGCCTCGCTTTCGGTGTTCCATGATTTCGTCTCATGCCTCCGGGTACCCGAATGAGAGCTCATTGGGGGCTACTCGAATCACATCTCCGTATTATAGATGCAACTGTAGTATCTTCTTATGCCCACTACCAGAGATCCAAGCGTAAGAAAAGTGAATTTGAGAAGTAGCCCAGAGTTTCGGACCAGGGTATTTCCGGAGTGGATGGAAATATAGTCTGTAAATAGTGGTGCTGAGGAGGTAGCATACACCCTAGATATAGCAACACTCGAGTCAGTCAGTTCAATCAGTGGTCTGTGATCTAAGCTAGAAGAGAAGTAGCAAAGGTCCAACATCCCTAGTGAACATCATACCGAAACCAAAAGAACTATTGAAACATTCGTGATCGTAACTTGGCTAGGAAAGCTTTTGATATTTGAAGACATGATGGCGGATAAGATCGGTGGTTTTCTGCTCGGAAGTTAAGATCTAGTTGCGCATGAGCGCCGTAACAATATCATGAATGGTATGTTTCTATTTTCTATCAGTGGCATGATAGTGGTTGCTGGAATTCATAACCTCTTTATGCTCGATATTGCGAGGCCCAAAAGGTGGTCACCGAGGGGGGTCTCACTGCCCTCGGTTATGTAGGTGATCGTGTCTGCATGTCGTCACGCGTGTACAAATCTCTAATTTGCTTCTTATTGAATCTGCGCCGATCCCATTTGTAATTCTGGGGAGACAGTGGGACACGATTATAGCCATCGGTCCGTTGCTAGTCATTCTTCTTCTAGACGCTGCATATACAATGCATTTTACTATCCCTGGAATAATAGTTTGTGCTGGTGGTAAACCACAAGAAATCTATACCTTGTAATCAGAGTTAGAATTATATGTAAAATGGCATATTAGGTTATCGAGTATGGCTATATCTATAACTGTCTTGTCGGGGCTTGTGGTGACCTCCATAGCTGACCGATCTCCCCATGGCCATAGGTACTCTGGCTTATTAGCTCGGCAACCTAAACTCTAAGGGAATAGAATGCGGTGTAAGATGTGTTAATCCTCAATTGGACATGCTGTTTGGTATGTGTGTAAATTGATGAGAACTTCGAACCATTTGAAGTGTCTGCTTGTCATAGCCCCTTGAGTGTACGGATCATCACCATCCTTATCTGTATTTCTATCTATTGATATCTAACAGTGATCTTCGGTTGGACTTTGACGAGTTGGTCTATGTAAAGTTATGCTAAGTAATTCATCATGCATAGCACAAATTCATAATAAAGATCCAACGGTAATGTACCAGTCATACTTGACTGTTGGTCTAAGTAATTCACCTTGAATTCAACTTCAACAGATGATGTCTTCGGTGTTCCGATCATGAGCTATAGACTTTCTCTCCTTTTCCATCAATGATCTCTTGGACAAATGTCTCAAGGCTTCTACCCCTGAGTCCAGGATATAGATCATCCATGATAAGATATCCTAGATACCTGGCGTACTCTGGAGTGTTATCGCCACGTACGCCCCATGAGTTCCAGTATTCGTACTGGGCCCGCAGTTGATTTACACTTGCGGAATCCGAGACTTCAGCAAGCTTTGATTCTAGGTCAGACGCGGACAGCTTTGAACACGGATGGTCAGTTATCAATCACATAGATCGAATTGTGTGCTTTACCTCGTTTTTTAGTGGCTTCTCTCCTGTCATCTTCTCCACCAGCTCAAAGATCTGGTTCTGTGTCCTAGTTTCAGTGAACACAAAAATCTTTCTATTGAGAGTGCGCGGATCGGTTATGACTTGAGCAACATATTTTCCAATATCGCGGACGTCTGTGAGAGCGGAAGGGACGTTGCCTCCGGCCAAAATGGTGTTGCTCGGGGCCAAGAGAGCGTAGTCGAAGCGGCCGGAGGGAACATTTGGGAGCGTGAGCTGGAACCACCACCCAACATCAATAACAGTATACGGAAGATAGATCCTGTTGATGTGGTCAAGTATCTCCTCCTTCTGTGAAATATTGTCAGTGAAGGAGTGTCTACGAACGTTCTGGGTATCTAGACTCGCCTTGTCACGCAGCTGCATGATCCCGCGAGGTCCTACCGTGGCAAAAAAGCATGGCACATATCGTGAAACACCCGCGACTTTGGCAGCTTTCGAAAGAAGAATCTCGTCGTTTAGTGATTGATAGTGAATGGTGGAGATGACCACGTCTGTGTTTCCCAAAACCTTGACAAGGTCATCTAGTGGCCCTTGAAGATCAGCTACAACAATCCTAATGCCTTTCGCCCTCAGATCGAGGACTCCTGGCTTGCTCAATGAAGAGTGGCGTATCAGCGCTGTTATTTCCTATGGTCATGTCAACATGAACCAGTATTACCAATAACGTGGCAATACATACAAAGGTAGTGGTCGACTCAAGCAGACCATTCACAACAGACCGCCCGGTCTCGCCAGTAGCTCCGACGATTGCCACTTTCATTTTACAATTGAGCCAGTTACCAGCACGTGAAAGATGAATCTGTGTGTTTCGCAGTGTTCAATAGGAAGTAGATTTCTTTCACGTATTGTTATCACGCGGGGTTCACGCGGAAAATTCCCCGTATTTTTAGCTTGATGTTGACTGTTCTAAGATTGATACTAGTTTCATACTTTTAGCCTCGGCAAACTGAATCTTAAAAGTGCCACCATACAAGCTTCAAGGAACCTGCTTGGAACCTCGCAATTGCAAAAGTCGGTGGAAGAGTTATTTTGCAATACCACGAGGAGCAACGAGCGCCGATATTGTCAGGTTGAATGACAGTCAGTCAAGGTTGTCGCACTCATTAATCATTAAGATCAATCGCTTCAGGGGTTAAAGGTTAGAATTAGGCGAGGCTATTTAGCCTCCAGTGCCCTCATGGGCATGACTCTTGTCGCATTATTCTTGTCTTAGGGATCGCGAAGCGCTCGTATCTGCCTCTGGCAGGGTGAACCCACTTATCTGAATGCCGCAGCAAAGTGTGGGTTCCCAACCCGTTCATAGTACGATTCGGGCACCGGTCACTATTAGGTATACGAACTATCTGAATGTTATCAGTATAATCAATCAGTCCAGGCTTCCAGTACCAAATTGTCACCAGCAATTACGCGCCCTCGTAGCATTGACCACTGCATTAACACTTACGAGGCTATCGTGCACAAGATCCAGTGCTTCGCTAGTTGCAGTCGATATCATCATAGCTTACTTGTCTCTAGAGCCATAAATACTCCATCAGTGCCAATATCGTAGTCTTTGCCTTTTTGCCAGCCAAACCACTGATCTAGCGTTCGTCTTCCTCCATCACCAGGCATACCCATGCCTTTCCAAGCATGCAGGACAGGTTTAGCTGGTGAATTTGGCAGATGAACCAGCGGCCTCTGTTCATAGCCGGCCTTCTCCAGTTCAGCATGATCCAGCACTGGTGTGACACAGGCATCTAGACCAACAAAGACAGCCTCCCACTCCTTTCGTGTCTTTTTTCGAAACCTCTTTTCAAACAAACGATGCATTGCCGGCCAGCCTGCTTTGTCTTCCCGTCGTCTTTTGTCAGAAGTGACGTCTTCGATGCTCAGATCTAATCCGCGGAGCAGGTGTGCAAAGAATTGAGGCTCTAGGGCACCAACTGATATATACTTGCCCGCGTCTTTGCATTCATAGCACCGGTAATAGGGGCATCCACCATCCAACAAATTAGTTCCTCTCTCGCCATTCCACACTGGCTCCTTGGATCTTAGCCGCGGGATGGTTCCCAGGTAGCCGACACCATCGACCATGTTAGCCTCCACAACCTGACCGTTTCCGCTTACCGCACGATGTATGATGGCAAGGAGTACACCGGCAAAGCCGACCAGACCACCGCCCGCATAGTCTCCCAGCACATTGGCCGGTGGTGACGGAGGACTACCGCAGCCGCCCAGCATGCTGAGGAGACCCGAAACGGCCAGATAGTTGATATCATGGCCGGCAAGGTTCTTGTACTCCCCATCGCGTCGAAATCCGGTGAGACGAAGTGCTATCAACCGGGGAGGTGTCTGTAGGAGGGCTTTGGGATCAAGGCCTAGTTTTTCTAAGACTGCGGCCTAAATGGATCGATTAACACATCGACCCTGTTTAATAGAGATTTTAGTAAGGAGATGCAAGCCGGTATCTTTAGATCCGTTGAAATGGACGACTTATATGAAGTCAGGATATCAGAACTCGCTGCATTGCCAGGCCGGTCAAATCGGATAACGGAGGCGCCATAAAACGCCAGAAGCTGTCCGCAAAAAGGTCCTAAGTCGCGGATCAGAAGTAATTACCACCATTAGCCGCAATGTACGGCAAGACCGACTCAATCTCACCAGGAGCTAGGCCGGCGAGCTCGAGGACTCGTATGCCGTTCAATGGCTGGTTCTCCGACATGTCATTCGTATGCTGTTGTGCCGCAGCAACCTAGCCTGCAGTGCGTCGTGCTCAGTACAACGCCGATGTATCGAGACAGCTCGTCAAGGGCTTAGTCCCTAGGAAATCCAATCGGTCCCGAGCATGAAAATTGTCGCTACTTTTGCTAGCGGAAAGCTAATATCTGATGTACCTCTCCTAACAAGTGATAGCCGAGGTTGCCTTTGCGACTGCGTCTGATCACACAACTTATCCCACATGTGGAGATGAGTTCCTTATTTAAGTCAGATGAGGACTATCTCTCCCTTGCAACTCGGTACTGAGGCTAACGGTGACAGATGGGGTCCTCGTCGGGGTTCCCGGTGAATATGTAAATATGTTCTAGTTATCTAGGCCTGACGGCATCAAGAGGA